GTAAATAAACAATATATTTAAATATAATATACAATATAGTAACTCATGACATTTTAAACATTCAATTTTCTTAGTTTCTTCAATAAACTTTCTTGACCCATTACTGGTAATACTTATAAGAAAGAATTAAACCTACTTGGTTGCATAGTATATACCGATTGCGGCAAGGCCACGTCGCGACGCGTCGTTAGACGGTGTGGATCACGTGATGTTCTTACATCTCGCCTCTGTTGGCTTACCAACCATGTTATATAAGCTCAGGTATTTCTTTGTTTTGGGTGTGTTCCACTACTACAAGTTGCTCAACAGTGTCGTGTCGACACTGATAATACCCAATATAGGTCAAAACACCTGTCTGTCGGTATTTAAAGTTGATGGAACGCACTCAAAACAAAAACTTTGGCGAGGTGTAGGTTCAATTCTTTCTCATAACATTTTTGTATATTAAAAAGTACAATAAATATGTTACAATTTTTAATTGTTAACATATAAAAATATTCGATTTTAAAATATTTTATATTTAAAATGGCAACATAATATTTACTATACTTATAATAAGTAATGGAAAAAATCTAATTATAATAAGAATTAAAAAAAATTGGTTGAGAATAATAATATTTTACCTTAAGGTTTAACATACATGGATATTAAAAATTACTAAATATGCATAGTATCTGGCAATATACAAGATAGTTGTCCCAAATAGTAATATATTATATAAGTAAAGGGTAATCAGAATTATACTTTTCTCTCCGTGTGGGCCGTAGTCACCTATATTTAACTACTATTTATATGATTTTTCTCAAAATAAATTTAAAATTATATTTTTTATATCCATAATAAATTTTGCAAATAACTTCGAAGATATAAAAATAAAAGTAGACTAGGTAATACATGTACTTTAAAACCCTTAGGCAGTAACCACTCGGTTGTGGTAAAAGTGGAATGGAAAACCCATTAAAATATTGAAAAAGTCGAGCATTTTGTACGCCTTAGAATATAGGGAAAAACGACAATAACTTAAGTGGCTATTAAAGTTTGAAATTAAGTGTCTTAACTGAAATTGCGATTTTTATTTTTGACAACAGAATTTAAAAAAAAAATCGTTTATTATTATGAAAAATTTAGTAAATTTTTTCGTCTAAAATTTTACAATTTTATACCATCCAAAAGCTCTACAAACCCACAAAATTTTAATTCAAACACGAAAACTCGTAGACGATCAACACGTGGTATCACAATATTCGGCACGAGTGTAACCGGCTCGTTTCAGCGCTGAAACCCGACTGAAATGCTGAAACGCGCGCGATCCTGAAACTTCCACACGCAGCGGCAGCATTAAGGCGCCTAGTGTTAAACAAATGATTCACGCTGGCAATAATTCCTCACGAATAGTGAGTATTTACAAGAGATTTTTCCCCAAAGGATAATTTCTACCAGGGGCGCTATTCGCTGGCCAGCAAGGTCGCCAGACTTGGCTCCTATCGATTTTTTCCTATGGGGATATGTAAAATCTACCTTGTACCGTCGTCATGAACTTTACCCTACTTATATAAAATTTTTAAATTAATTTAATTCATTTTTTAAAACAGGGAAATGCGCTAGTAAATATAAAATATAACTAGTTTGTTTTCTTATTCTTATATCTTGTTTAGGTATGACAACAGTAATGGGAAAATATGAGACACCAACTTTAGAAAATCCAATTATCTTGTGTGATGAACGTACCAAATTATAATTTTGACATAAGCAATTTCATGGGATTTAGTTTTTTATATATTTTTTTATCAAAACGCTTCCATGTTCATATTTGAAAATTACCTATACACTGTTATACAAATCAGATTTGTAGTTTTTTAATTTTATTTTGTAAAATTTTAACATAATTTTTGTAGAAAATCAAATTGTAATTATTTTAAAAACATTATTAAAAAAAAATTTTTTGTATTTTTAAGTTAAAACCACAAAAAATATCTACCACCTATATATTTACAAATCTTTTCGTAATATTTACTTTTTATACCCAACCATCCAACATAAGCCGATCAAGAGTGCTTTTCTTATTAAATCACGGAGCAAGCACTGAATTTCTATTGTTTAACATAGGTAGGTAATTGAATTGGTGTTCTTGACAGTGATGCAAAAGCAAAAAAAATCCAATCGAATTTTAACTGAAGATAAATAAATAAATAAGTATATAAATAGGGCTTCTACAAATACAAATTTCTTTGTACTTTGTTTTTTGTTTATACTTTTAGTTATATAAAAAAATTTCTACTACCATCTATAAAACGCCCATTATCGTACATGTTTCCATGACACTAAGTGACCTTTTAAATAAACATTGACAAGTTGTGACTTTATGGCGTTTTAGTCACGGGCTAAAGTTAGCAACATTAGTTGACAGTTCTCAAATGTCATACAACTGTTAAAATAAAGTGCCTTTTTTGTAAAATAATACTAAATGTGTCAAAATCAAAAAGCAATTGGCACACATATTTCAAAAATTAAATAAATTTTTAAGATTTTTTTGTTATGGCTTTGGCCAAACTACCTTTTTGAGGCAGAAACCTAATTTTACCAATATATGACATTTAAACAAGATATTTTTATGAGAAATCATTTGGTGAAAGCAAAATTAGTTCAACTTTATTAGTTTTCGAGATATAGTTTTTTTAATTAAAATATTGTCGCTTTTTGAATTCTCTTTTTAAAGCAGAAACCTTTGTTCAAGAAGAATACATTAAATTAAAAATGACAAACTAGTAGATTCCAAATACGAGGTGTGTTCAGAAAATAACGGGAATTGTTAAATTTCGCGGGTTCGGAGGGTCCGGTTGTCATAAAATTTTCTTTATTATGTTGGTATACATGCCCCCCAAGTATGATAAAAAGTTTAGCTGTTTTCATTGTTTACTTTGTCTGTGGCAGCCGCTAAGGTTAGACGTGTTTTATGAGCTCGGCGATTTTTCGTTCGTTGAAAGAAATGGATCAAAGAATTTGTATGCAATTTTGCTTAAAAAATGAAATAAATTCTGAGAAATGTTAACAAAGGCCTATAGTGAGTCTGCTATAAGTAAAACAAGAGTTTACAAGTGGTATAAGAGTTTCCAAGAGGGCCATGAAGACGTTGAAGATGACGAACGCCCCGAACGCACAAGCACATTAACAACCGATAAAAACATGGAAAAAGTGGAAGAAATGGTTATAAACCATCAGAGAAGTCGCTGATGATGTTGGTATATCGATTGGCTCATTCCATGAAATTTTTTCGAAAGTTTTGGGTATGAAACGCGTGGCAGCAAAATTTGTTCTAAAATTTTTAAATTTTGAACAAAATTTTTGGCCAAAAACAATACTGTAATGATGCCCCAGCCACCATATTCGCCAGACATGCCTCTGTCTGACTTTTTCCTATTTCCAAAAATAAAGAGAACCTTAAAGGGCCGTCGTTTTGCAAGCATAGATGACATTAAAAGCGCATCGCTGAAAGAACTAAAGGCTATCCCAAAGATCAAGTTTTAAAAGTGTTTCGAGTATTGGAAGAAGAGCTGGCACATGTGCATAATATCCAATGGGGACTATTTTGAAGGCGACAACATTAATATAGACGAATAAACAAATATTTTTTTCAAAAAACGAAAATTCCCGATATTTTCTGAACACACCTCGTATGCAATAAAAATTGTTAATTATATTATTATAATGATTGATGATTAACCCTACTTTTCACTTAACGGTATTATTTTAAGTATAAAAAAATATAAATTAATTTAATTATTTACTTACCCTTTTCTTGAAAGAAGAAGGAAATGTTTTTCTTTTTGGATCCAATCTTGAAGACAGTTTTTAACTATTATTTTAGTAATATCACAATTTTATTATTATTAATTTAGTAGGTAGTACCTAGGTATCGTCGCAAATTACACGATTTTAATTGCTAATTTTAATTATTATTGCCTTAAATTTTACTTTATTACTTTATAAATATTGCAGATTAAATACTAAATAACCGTTATTTGTAAACAATTTAGACGAATTTAGAATTTTTCATTGAACATTTCCTAAAATTTCACCACACTAATATTTCACACACGATTGTTATTTAATTACTTGGGTAGGAACTGTAACAATCAACAACACCCCCTATCACTAATTATTACTGTATCTACTAACGTTAAAGCCTTAATTGTTATTAGAATTTAATTATTGTTATCGGATATTGAGCATTAAAACTAAGGTTATATTAGAAAAACGAATAAACGGAAAACCCTGGGAAAATGTTTACCTCAAACTTGCCGAATTCCTCGTAAGATGGCAGCACTGTTTTATTGATTACATTTTAAAAACTTTATCTGTTTTTTATTTATAGTATATAAGTAGCTAACTTCCACTTGTTATATTTCTTCTTCACAAACTTGATCTTCATTGGATGAATCCTCGGTGGATTCAACAGAAATACCGTCATCTGAATCGTAATTAAAGTCATCCGAAAGGTAATCCGTTTCACTCACTTTATCCGTTTCGAATAATAATTTGTAGACGTCATCTAAAGTGTATTCTACTTTATTCGCTTTCTCTGCTTTATCTCTGTTCTGTGCTTTATTTGTTTCGAATATTAATTTGTAGACAAATGTGTACAATTTGTAGAGCGCACTCATTTTTAATAGGATTTTAAAATAACTGATAAAATAAAAAAATAATTATGAATGTGACAGTTCTTGATTTTTTCAGGGTTGCCAGAGTTTCGAAAATAATAAATAACAAATAAAAAATTGATATATCTGTCTGTTTAGCGCTATTTTTTTCTTATTTTCTAAAATAATACAATATATGTATTTTTTGTATATAGGTACATAAAGGTCTCAAATATTTTTTCAAATTACCGCATTTTGTTGCATACATCTGGCAGCACTGGTTGCCATGGCAACAAACAACCATCTTTTGTTTATTTTGACAGTTTTCAAAACTTTACCATATTTTTTAGTGCAATTGGAAATAACTACGATGATATTAAATAAAACAAGGTAAGAACAACTTATAAATGTATTAATAAATTATTTAATCGCAAGTTTACATTATATGAGATATTTAGTACAATTTTAAATGCCCTGTTATGGAATCTAGAACACTTTTGGGGGCTGGTCCAATGGCAATAACAGTTCTGCTACCAGGGGCAACCTGGGTTTGACCTGCGTCCCGCACTATGCTTGACAGTACGTTAAATTGTTTTGCCTTTTTGTCTAAATCCATTAATTGTTCTTCGGAGTCCAATCGGACTGCTATTTTGGTGCCACCTAAAAAGGGTGTTGGGACATAAGTATGTAATAATATGTCATCATAGAAGTCAGAGGTTACTTTGACTTTTAATCTTGTTTGTTTAAAATTTAACATGAAGAATGTTACCAACCTTTTAAAGTTAATCTTGACAATAATAAATAAAACAAAATAAATCTTATAAACATATTAGGTATTCAGACTTTTAATCTTTTGTTTAAAATTTAACATGAAGAATGTTACCAACCTTCTAAAGTTAATATTGACAATAATAAATAAAACAAAATAAATCTTATAAACATATTATTCAGATTAAAAAAACATTTAGTATAATTTTAAATGCCCTGTTATTGAATCCAAAACACTTTTAGGTGCTGGTCCAATAGCAATAACAGTTTTACTGCCTGGGGCTACTTGGGTATGCCCTGCATCTCTTACAATACTTGATAGCACATCATTTTGTCTTGCTATTTTGTCTAAATTTATTAATTCCTCTTCGGAATCTAATCGAACAGCTATTTTTGTGCTTCCTAAAAAAATTAATAGTATAGGTACTAGAATTTGTTTTAAATATTTAAAAAAAATTTAAATCTATGGTAATTTTTTCTAGAATATAAATCACTTTTAAAATAAATAAAACAGATAAAATTGAAAAAATATTTGTAGAATTTTAACAGTGGATCAGACACATTTTTAGGTTGGTAACATGTAAATTCAAAATAAAAAATGAGTTTCACTAACAGTAATAGTAACATTTTACTGATACATATTACTTCAAAACCTTGTAACGTTAATTACCGTATCGTAGCCAGTTTTTAAGAACTTTTGGTTTCTGTTTTAATGCTTTCGCATAAGCAGCTACAGCAGCATGCCCACATTGAGCAGCGACTTTTCCTTTTTGCATTTTCAAGTCGTTTCTAACCCCCATAATGAGTCTATATTCATCGTTCGCGTCCTCAAACTAAAAACAAGCGACATTCAATTCAATTCGACACGTTCCAGCGTATTTTTTCGAAATCCTAACCTCAAATTTTTCTTCCTGTCCGTTTTCCCAAGATTGGTCTTTCGGTTTCGCCCTGAATTTGCTGAGAAATATCGCCGAAACTGCCCCAACGCAGGTTCCAGCTGTGAAAATAGCCACACCACTTGTAGTAGCGATAATACTCATTATATCACTGTACATTGTTATCGTAAAAAAAGAAGATATTGTTATCATAACCTTAATTTGTCCGACTAATTGGTCGAAGCGTTGCCAACCATTTAAAAAATAACGCAAAATATACAGTTCATTTTTTTTTAATTTCACACTGTCAATTTGACAGTAATATTTATTATTGATTATTTTCCTCATTATAATATGAACCAATCAAAAGCCTTGAATTTTCGAATAAATTTCGTTTAAATAAGCGATTAAATCACTAGAACTATTTAACAGCGATTAAATTTTAGCCTCCATATTGGATTTTTGTTTACGATTTTATGATGTTATTTACAAGTTTTAACAAACATTTTTTAAAAAACAATAAAAAATAAGTTATCTAGTTTACGAAATATCAAATATTACTTAGTACATACATTAAATTAATGGAATTTTCTTTAAAAAAATATTTATAAATTTTGACACATACGTCAGATTTTATGAATTGTCAAATAGTTTCCTTTAATTCGAGAAATAATCTAGACGTATATCACTCAACCTATAAATTTAATATGTCAAACTATGCTCAGTAAGTTTTTTATTTGATTTTTCCTTTTGGAAAATAGTTTCATGCAAAATAATTAAAAACAAAACCCCTCGACCGCTACGCGGTCTCGTTAACTTTTAAGGGTAAAACTTCATTTTGATGAACATTTTTGGAGTAAAAAAGTAACGTTTTTGGTTTTACAAGGATTAAATCACACATTATTCAGCTAAGCAGATCAAAATTTTAAAAAAATAAGGATAATAAAAATTAAAAAATTATTTGCTGCTATAGGTTCAACTTTTTTGTGAAAAATCTAGTAGTTAATTTTCCTGTCTTTGAAAATAGCTTCAATTTGGTTTAAAAAAGATAAGCAATAATCACGAAACTTTTTCTTTTTTCAATTTGCAAGTTACTGATCATTAATAGTCCTGGACAATAAATACATTATAATTATAATTAAGCCACTACAAGTATGAGCGTTCAGTGGCTTTAACAAAATACCCATTCACCATTGGAGTCCAATTGGACAACATTCACGTGTGTTCACATAAAAATTTAATTTCTTTTATATAAATTCTTTTCAAAGCGAAGATTATTATCCGCTAGGAATACTTTGTCTCTCGGGCCGTAGTCACCTATATTTAACTACTTTTTTTATATGATTTTAATCGTCTACGCTACGTCTACGTTTAGAGTTGCCTACCTACAAGGTTTTATTAGCAACGCCATCTATCCAAGTATGGCCGAACTAAAATTGCAAAAACAATTTAGCGGAATATTTAGTTTGGCATTTCTTTTATAGCTTCAAAATATTAAAATAAAAATAATTGAATTTCTCAACCCTCAAAAAATTTTTTCAAATACAATATCCCCTATAGAAGAAAACAAGTTTTAAAGCATTAATTTATTTTTAAGTTTTAACAATTATCTACACACTTTACACTATTTTTCAACGGTACAAATGATCGGCGTGGATATTTGCCGCAATTTCGCTCTCCCACTTATCCCCATTCTCCAGCAATTTCTCCTTGTTATACAACAACTCTTCGTGAGTTTCGGTGGAAAACTCGAAGTTTGGGCCTTCGACAATGGCGTCCACGGGGCAGGCTTCCTGACAAAAACCACAGTAAATACACTTGGTCATGTCGATATCATAGCGGGTAGTTCTACGACTTCCATCAGCCCTTTCTTCCGCCTCGATAGTGATGGCTTGCGCTGGACAAATAGCCTCGCACAACTTACAAGCGATACAGCGCTCCTCGCCTGAAGGGTATCTACGTAGAGCGTGTTCACCTCTGAAACGGGGGCTCAGAGGTCCTTTTTCGAATGGGTAGTTAATTGTGGCCGGTTCCTTGAAAATGTGAGCCAAAGTGACTCCAAAACCACGCACCAATTCCGTCATGAACATGGTTTGAGCGGCTCTGTCTAAAATATAACAAAGTTATACCCATATAAATGTATGTATGTATCGGACCTGTAATCGAGTTCATATCCATGCTGGGCTCCCTATCGTTTACGTAGACATAACCATCCTTAGCTGGGCTACCGATAAATCTCTGCTGTACAACGGCCACATTAGGCTTGAATAGCCCACGGCCTAAAATAGGAAAGTGGGGTTAGGTTTGAAAACCCGATTTAAAACACTTTAGAACGCAATAAAAACAAAATAATTATTATAAATAAAGTATTTACTCACCATTTCTGCCTAGTGTGAATATTTTTAAAGCCGTATTGCTCATTTTTACGCTAAAAACTATATTTTCGAAACGTCAAATTAATGACATAACAACTGAGACACCATCGCCACCTATTGACGATAATTAAAACTACAATTACAGAATTCTGTAATTATTTGAACCGTAAAAATAATTTATTTTAATTGTTTTTGCTGTTTAATGACCCGCATTGTTATTTTTATCGTTTATTTCAATCGCCACAGGTAATGGTTTTAAAAATTACGCTATTTTAAATGTTAAAACTAGGAAACAGGTAGTTTACGTTCGACCAATCACGGTGAGCCAGGTGAAGAAGTGTCAAATCTGACGTTTGTTTGTTTATTTCGTACAAAATAACGGGAATACGAGCTATTTTTTGTAATTTATGACATAAAGTGTTGGTGAAAATGTTTCACACGCGATTTTTCTGTCTTGTTTTGTGTTTTTTAAGTGTGGTTTCAGTTAATTTAGCGTGTAAGGGTTGCGTCGAACTTGACGAGTACAACTTTAATAAAGTTTTGTCAAAATTCAAAGCCGTTTTGGTTAAATTTGATATCGCGTACCCTTACGGGGAGCAACACGACACTTTCAGTGAAGTTTCCAAGGATATTAGAAGCGTAAATGATTTAATATTCGCGCAAGTCGGCATTAAAGATTACGGGGATAAAGATAATGAAGAGCTGGGGAAAAAATATGGTATTCAAGGTAAAGATGATCTCCCCGCTTTAAGACTTTTTGTTGATGGTAAAGAACCCATAAGCCCACCTGATGATTTTAAATGGAATGAAGAATATTTTAAGGGGTTTTTGAGGGATAATACAGGGATCTACATTGGGTTGCAGGGCTGCCTAGAGGAATTTGATAAATATGCGCTAGAGTTTATAAAGAGTAGCAAAAAGGAAGCCCTATATAAAAAAGCCTTAAAAGCAGCCGATAATTTAAAAACCGAGGTAATAAAAATGATAACAAAAATAATTGGTTTTTATACTTAATGTTTTGTTTTTAGACTGATAAGAAAACAGCAGTTATATACACAAAATATATGAATAAAGTAATAGAAAAGGATACCTCGTTTATAAACCAGGAAAATTTACGACTGAATAAGTTATTGAAAGAAGGAAAAATAAATGAAAATAAAAAAACGGAAATTGTTCAAAAATTAAACATTCTTAAATCTTTCAAATTACCCAAAGATGAACTTTAATATTATAATACTTGGTTTTATTATTATGTTGTTATAAGTATGAGATTTTATTTTGTTGATTTTTTCCATTTTTGTGTGTAAACAATATTTATTAGATTTTGCACCTTGTATACATTATGTATGAAGCAACTTTTTAATAAATGAGTGATAAAACTTATTCTATGGGTTTAACCTCAATTTTTCCTGACATCTGTCAAACGGTTTTAACCTCACTTTTTTCCAATTTGACATCCGTCCAACCATTTCCACCTCTCTTTTTCTCAAACTAGGGAAATAGCGGAATAGATAAACTATTAAAGCAACATTTATATTTCTTAAATTAAAGTCAATTTTATTTTGTCGGACCGATTTAACCTCAATTTTTCTTAATCTGACCTCTGTCAAACTGTTTTAACCTCACTTATTCCCAATTTGACATCTGTCAAACCATTTTAACCTCACTTTTTTTCAAATTACGAAATAGCGGAATTTATACAAAAATATTAAAGCAATGTATATATTTCTTAAATTAAAGTCAATTTTATTTGATATTTTATCAGACATTTGCCAGACGGGTTTAACCTCACTTCTTCTCAATTTGACATCTGTCAAACCATTTTAACCTCAATTTTTCTCAATCTGACATCTGTCAAATGGTATTAACCTCACTTCTTTCCAATTTGACATCTGTCAAACCATTTTAACCTCACTTTTTTTCAAATTAAGGAAATAGCAGAATAGATAAAAAAATATTAAAGGAACATTTATATTTCTTAAATTAATGTCAATTTTATTTGATATTTTATCTGAGATTTGTCGGATGGATTTAACCTCAATTTTTCTCAATTGGACATCTGTCAAACGGTTTTAACCTCACTTCTGTCCAATTTGACATCTGTCAAACCATTTTAACCTCACATTTTTCAATTTTTTTAACCTCAATTTTTCTCAATCTGACATCTGTCAAACCTCACTTCTTTCCAATTTGACATCTGTCAAACCATTTTAACCTTACTTTTTTTTAAATTAACGAAATAGCGGAATAGATAAAAAAATATTAAAGCAACAATTTTATTTCTTAAATTACATAAACACATCAAAAGTCACTCCTACATTATATTCTATCCAAGACAAAAACAACATTTCAAAACTATTTTATAAAAATAGTACGGAAACAAAATAAAAAAAATAACAAGTATAAAAACGTCATGACATCTGTCAATTTGACAGATAGAGAATTCTTTGAACTTTCAACTACTACATACTATGAATGCAAACGAAAAAAATTGACGACACAAAATAAATTATTGCTATTCTAATAAAGTCCGTTTTTTATACAGGTTGTGAATTATGTAGGTATGCAACCCAGATTACAAATCGATGAACACCTATCTACATTCCAATTTCCTGAAATTTTGCGAATTCAAAAGAATTGAAAGCAAATATCTTCTTGGAATTTTAAAAATAAAAAACGAGCCAAAATTTGTACTTGATTCCATTAATTCTTTTTTTTGTTGAGAGATTTTTTGCTGTTGCCATCTTTGGCCTCTTTTTTGCAACTCTCATATTGGTTGTTTAGGTCAAAAGCTGCAACAATATTTTGTTCTGAGAACAAAAACTTCATCAACTTCCCTTTGACGTCGAAAGTAGGCCTACGCGATACTTCTTTGCCTTCTTTAAACATAACAATAGTTGGTAGTTGTTTGCTCAGGGGGCTATCGCTGACCAAAAACCTTTTGCTGGCGTCAGGGTACCTTCCCAAGTCGATTTTACCAAACTTAAGCAAATCCAAGTTGTATTTGACGCTTATTTCGGCAAACACTGGGGCCAAATTCACGCACAACGGGTTCCATACCGTGTAAAAGCACACAATCCAAACGATTCTCGGGTCTTTTTCGAGCTCCATCTCAAGGTGTTTAGAGCTGCCAAAATAAACCACATTTGAAGGTCCATCATATGTTGGTTCAGGGAATAAAATGGCTATAACTAAAAAACAACAAACATTACAGTAAATATTGTTTATAAAATATTCAAAACTTACTTAAAAATAATAAGGTATAACCTGCCCCCATATAAATATCTGCATGATACCACAAAATACAATTGGCTATCTTTGTGTACACAAAACTCGCCGAAAGATAATTAATCATGGTCACACTTCCTGATTTGCGCGACCTAATCATCACGACCACAACCAGAAAGAACAAGATTTCCGTTTCACGCTGAAAACCAATTATTTCATTAAAAAATCCTACGCACCTAACCTCGAAATACTTACACCATCGAATTCGCAGACGTCCGTGCGAAAAATAAAGTTGCACACCCCGGGAATGTTCTTTAAAATGACGTACGAAAGGCTCATCAATATGTTTATCAGATAATACGGCTTCACTAGCAGCTTAAAGTCCTTTTTTAAGGCCATTTTCGTGCCGTTGCGTTATCTAACCCAAGAAAAATCACAACTGACAGCTGTCAAGTTTGTTATTAATCGGCGGTACATTGGAACTACTACGACTAATTGAATTATAATTTAATGCATTTAATACTGTATAAACACAATAAAAATTGGATTTTGTACATTATTTGTTAATAATATTGCATAACGTATAGTTTTTAATGATATTTTTTCTTGAATAAAGCGTTTGAAAGGATTTTTAATAGTCAGGTCCGTACTTTACAACAGTACCGTATTAAATTTAAATAAAAACCAAATATTTGTAATAAATTGTATTAAATCTATAAATATCACATATAAAATAAAATAATTTCAATATAAAACGATAAAATATATCAACAATAATTTAGCAATGATATTCTATATCACATTAGTCGAAACAATAATTTAATAAATACTTAATTAAACGCTAATAAAAAATTGCGAGAAGAGATTCAGGACTCCAATGGAGATAATGAGGGTGTAAAAAATTGTTCGCAAGGTTGTCAGGTTGCCTTCCTTTTTGAGCGACGCCATTTTTAGGAGACTTGGCAACATGAAGATGTACACAAGGCCGCTAGCAGCTCCGGTATATCTATATATTAATATTAATTTACTACAAACATACATTTTATAAAAAAAATTTACCTTATTAACGTTCCAATACGTGGTAGAAAGCATGCGAAGCAAATGCACACAAAAAGTACTATGCAGTTGATAAAAATTACTTTTTTGTAGGAAAAATTTCCGTAATTGGTTCCTTTGGATATCATTCTTATGTTAGCAAAAATATCGTTTCGTAACATAAATGACAGTAGAGGAAAGACCGTGAATAATTGAAAGAGTAATAAAATTCTGGCGATTATTGTGAGATTGTCGTTTTTTGGAAAATTGTTCAAAATGTTCTAAAATAAAATATATATATTAGATTTAAACAAAATTATTAAATTATGCCGAAGAAAGTTATACAAAAAACACAGTAAAAAAATATTTTAGAAATAGTGTGAAGCTTTTTTTACTGTGTGTAAATACTTACATCTTCAATGCAGCTTTTGGCTAAGGGAAAAGCAATGTAAAAAGTAACACCCAAAAACAAATAAGTAAACGTTATTAATCCAAAAGCTATCGAAAGATCTCTTTTCTAAAAAACAAAAAAATAGTCAATTTATAAAAATTAAAATTAATTATTTTTTACATTATTTTGTTGGTTCTTATTGCTCCTCATGATGGAAATAATTATGTTATGTATGAAGTAACTCAAACTGAGCATTCCGCTCAAGGCTGAAAACGTTGATTTTAAGTAGATTTCCTGGTCCCAATTCGGCAAATTTATACCGAAGGAGTAAGATTTTACAGCCACGAAAAATATTATGTAGCCTACACTTACAGTGCCTAAAAATGTCAAAAAATATATACACAGTAAAAAATGTTGCCATTGTAAGTTTTTTAGTGTAGGGGTAAAAATATTAGAGTTGATTTGTAAGTGTAAAAGTTACATTTATTAACTTTATTAAACACATTTAAAGAATATGAACATTATTCATTGGTACATTCACAGTATTTATTATTAAAATAAATCAAAAGGGTAGAAAAACTTAATGCGAGTGTTTATTACCCCTTAATGTGTTAAATAGTGACAAAATGTACACTACAGTGCATGCCAATTTCTTTGTCTGTTTTGATGTTACTAAGAGCTCTTTTTTCTTTACACAACTAGTGCACATTGTATCACAATTAAAGTTAAATTACACCAATAGTGGCAAAAAAGACTGAAAAAACTGGTAATAACCGAAATGCGTTTTAAAATGTTTGGTTGGTACCTTTATACCTACGGAGTGCTTATCCGGAAATACCGCGTTGTGGAAGTGTGGCATTTTTGTTCAGTTAGATTTTAATTACGGTGAATCCATATTTTTTGGTGAGTATTATACTTCCTTTTCTTTAAGTCTTAATACTCAATAAATACCAATATGTTAAAAGGATGTCCATACCCGACCTATATTATATATCAATAATTTACGGCAGTAGGTCGGGTACTTGTAACATTAATAATATAAATACATACACACTTGATTTACTTTTTATTTTCAAGCGTAATGGTTGTTATATTAATCTATAACTACATTTTTATTAATATTATGGAAAATTTGTACACGTGTGGTAAATCCCCGACATACAGCCGCCTGACGCCTCTCTACCAATGGGATCACCCATTTTTTTATAACAGAAAAATGGATTACTGATGAATTCTCAAGATAATTCATTGCTTACAAGTTGACAGCCAGTAAAACATTGCAATGATCTAAAACTTTTACGTTTTAAGGAACCATTTTGCTTAAGCCAGCCATACGACTCAAATAAAAAATTATATTTTAAAAGGCACCGATTTTGATAATTGTCATAGATTTTTGTTCCAAATAAATGTTTCTCTTTATTTGCCTTTTCGTTTTATTCACTACCACCAATAGGTTTTACTCGAATAATAGTGTTAATTTACACTAGAAGTTTGCATTAAAAGAGTAAAAGTACCTTTCTAAAATTAGAACTTTTCCAAAGTAGTGTTAATTTACACTGAACAAAAGTGGGATTTTACCCAGGAAGTGTAAAGGTACTCGATTTTAGATAAATTAACTTTTTTTAATACAGTGTAAAATTACTTTATCCTCAGTGCTATAGTGTTAAATCATACTTGCTTACTTGGGGAAAATTACACTACAAATTAACTCTAATTGTAGTGTTATAAAACCTGTGTGAACTCTAATTAGTGTTGCTTAGAGTTGATTTTTTTTACTGTGTATGAAACAATTTTTAATTAAAAAAAACATCAAATATATATACCTAAACTATTAAATTTGGTGAAAAAAGTTGGACTTTTAAAGTTGAGCATAGGAAACATAACGACAGCCAAAAAAATTGGCACTGTGGAGTGGAGATTCCAGTATTGCTCGAAAGGGGATTTTTCGATATCCAAATTTAAGTTGGTAACGTTTTTCAAATCCCAGATGGCTTCTTTCGGACACAGCACCGTCATGTTGGCATCACTAGAAGCCTTGGAATTTATAAAATCTAAAAATAATTGTTTTTTTTTGGGATTGAAACTTTTACGGAATATTACCGTAAAAAAACAGCACTGAGTTATACAAGAAATTTGACATAAGGATCCAGTAAACGATATCAGCTCCTATAAGAACTACAACAGAAAATATTTTCGCCAAAATTTCCGCCCATTTTCCCAACAACTCTTTACATAAATCGCACACTTCGTGGCTTTGTCCCAAAACACCTAAAAACAAAAAATAGTAAATTACACTCACAGGCAAAATAATCGATCCACACAAATTTTCGATGAATTTCAATCGCAAATAACTTTTTTATTTGATTTCAGATTTAAACAAATATTAAAGAATATTGTAGATACATTAATGGAAAATCGCTCACATTTTAAAAATTACTAAAAAATACACGTACGTTTATAATATACAGGTTTAAACAAAAAGATGTTTTTTACCATAAGTTTAAGACACTCTGTAGAGTGGCAAAACTGTATATTGTTCTAAATTAAGTTTTAATTATTAAGTCACATCTATTTTTAACAGTTTGTTTTTGGTTCATGTTGATATATTTATTTTTGTGGAAAATATGGATTTTTTTAAAAAAACATTGCAATTTCCAATATTTTTCCTGTATAAAGAACTAAGGTTGCTATGGTCCATCCATAGGCTATGGAGAATGACAGTGACAGTTTTGTTGAATCATCCCATACTTGGACATGTCATATACAGCTTTCAAAAGCTATCAAATTGTTTTTTGTAAATTAATTTGTTAATTTTGAGGTGTCTTCTTACTTTTAAAAATGTCTCCGACTGATGTTGCCCTTTGTACTTTACTTCTTGTGAGGTTTAAAACACTTGCCACGTAATACTATGACCGTCCATCCTGGATTAAATTAATGGCTCTGGCAACATCAGTCCGAGACATATCCATTTTTTAAAGTAAGAAGACATCTCAAAATTTAAACATTAATTTGCATAAAACAATTTGATAGCTTTTGAAAGCCGTGTATGACATGTCCAAGGGATGATTCAACAGAACTGTCACTGTCATTCTTCATAGCCTATGGATGGACCATAGCAACCTTAGTTCTTCATACAGAAAAATATTGGAAATTGCAATGTTTTTTTAAAAAAATCCATATTTTCCACAAAAATAAATATATCGAGGTGAACCAAAAACAAAACTGTTAAGAATAGATGTGACTTGATAATTAAAACTTAATTTAGAACAATATACTGTTTTGCCACTCTACATAGTGTCTATATGGTAAAAAACATCTTTTTGTTTAAACCTGTATATTATAAACGTACGTCTATTTTTTAGTAATTTTTTAAAATGTGAGCGATTGTCCATTAATTTATCTATAATATTCTTTAATATTCTTTCTTTCTTTAATATTCGTTTAAATCCGACATCAAATAAAAAAAGTTATTTGCGATTGAAATTCATCGAAAATTTGTGTGGATCGATTATTTTGCCTGTGAGTGTATATGGCTGATTCTCAAAAAAAATCTAAATTTATGTCCTTGCTGATTCCTGTGAAATGGGATCCTAAGTTATGGTTAAGTTAGATTTTTTTATGAAACTACATCACTAGCCGTACCAAATTATGAAACATTTATTTATTTTATCATAAATAAAAAATATATGTTTAAGTAAATACCCTAAAAATCCTTTCCTCATTGTGTCCCAACCGCCAAATTCAAATAGATTTACAAATATAATTTGAAAAGTTTCGTATAAACTATCAGCTATCATATTATTTATTTTCATATAATAGTACTGGCTGTACATAAATGTATATATAGTTTAGAAACCGCAAACGGAAAAAGCACAAAATATATTTTTAAATTTGTCCTTAAAAAACGAATCATTTCCTCACAGTTGTGTAACAGTGGGATTGGAACATAATTTTAAAGTATATTGAACACAGCCTTATTGTTTTCAGAAGTTGGCAATATTGATACTAAAAAAATATGACAGACTGAACTGTCAGTGCTGAGATTTTTTTTTAAATCTGTATTAAAGAAAAACTTTTTCGAATTTAAATTTTTGGCCGTCATTTCCTCACACTGTATTGTAAAAAGGTAAGCGCTTATTTATGTACCAAGTATCATATATTTGTATGCGTTTCTGGGAGTAATAAAGTATCGTACAATCGCATGGAAAAGTAAGGTTATGTTTCCTATTTTTGTGCCATAATGTTTCATTTTGTCATTCCCTCATCGTCATTCCCTCATACAAATTTTTGGTGAGGGAATGACGAATATGTGAGGTAATAACATCCTAACTAATACAGGGTGTTTTACGTTCGTGGTCCATTAGAAGTTTATGGGAAACGGCAAAATATATCGATTTGAAATTTTAAAAACGTTTTTAATTCAATTTAGACTATTTTTTAAAATGCCATTTTTAGTTTTACCGAAAAGGGCATTAACCACAGATGAATTATACCTAACTATGTTATTTCAAACAGAACACCCTGCATATTTTTACATTTTTAATTTGTGAAGAGATAGAGATATGCATACAGGGTGTCCCACAATTAGTGCGACAAAATGAAGGTGTATTATCTACAGACCCCCAGGAATTCCAGAAAATTGTTTAAAAAATTCTTCCTTCATTATTTAAAAAGATACAGGGGAGTCATATTTTCTTTATATGGCAACAATGCTTCAAAAAAAGGGGATAGTTTAATTCTTAATCATCATGTTAACATTGTTGTTTGTTGTCATGATGATTAAAAATTAAACTATTACTTTGTAGATATAGGTAGATAGGTCTAGTTTATGGACCAAAGAGTAACATGACTATAACTAACTGAAATTGATAAATAAATCTAAATTATATTTGGTTTGTGGATGGGTTAATGTTGAAACGACCCGGGGCAAAATATGTTAATAAATGCAAAAGGGTTATGGTTGCTTGACTTGTTTTAGGTTGCCATACGAAAAAAATGGCAAGAAATAAGAAATTAACGGAGGTAGAAGCTAAATTAAAGAAAAAAGAATACGATAGAAAGCGAAGGGAAAAAACAAAAGGTTGTGCTAAAACTTTAGAAAAACTTCGAGAAAAAGAAAGACTTAAATATTTACTGAAAAAAGAAAAAGGTCAAGTAAAGCTTGTAGGTGATATGAATTCAAGAGAAAAACGACAAAAAAGAAAACAATGGAAATTAAATAGTTCAGTTTATAGAATTAAAAAAGCGAATTTACGTAAAAATCTTAGATTACTGGATGAAACGCCACCTGCTAGCCTAGCACCATTTGCAGAACCTAGTATTCAAAACAATTCTGTTAATAGAGATGCTGTAGCTATGCGAAGACGACGTCTGCTAAGAAATCGTCGAGCAATAATGTATGCCAAAATAGCTAATTTAGAAATAAAACTAAAAGAAGAGGTTAAGAGAAGAGAGAAATATCGGAAAAGGTGCGTAAGGATGAATAAACAAAATAAAACATATTCACCTGAGGCTAAAGTGACAAAACTTTTAAAGAACATAAAGGTGCCTGAAATTGTTAAAAAAAAGCTTCTTTTTTCTGAATTACTTACCAAGGAACTAACCCAATCTTATAATAGAATAAAAACCCACAAAGGAAAACAGGAGTACTACAAAAATTTGAAGCTAGATCTCTTAAAAAAACGCAGATTGTTGCATTTGTCTAAGCCCTTTTTTAAAAATCAAAACTACAAAAAAAGAAATTGTAGGAAAGTAAAGTCAAAAATGTTAACAGTAAAGCAAGACATTATCAATTTTTTGGAGAAAGATGAAAATTCTAGAATGTGTCCAGGAAAAAGGGATTTTGTCAGATTAGGAAAATTAGTGAAGCAAAAGCGCCTGCTTACTGATAATATGCGCAACTTGCACAAACAATTTTTGATTTCTGTCACCTACAAAATAAGTTTGTCGACATTCTGCAGATTTAGGCCATTTTGGGTTACTTGGGCGAACATCAAGGAACGAGACACTTGCAAATGCGTCGTTCACGCCAATATAGAGCTTATTGTTTCTAAATTACATGAGCATAAGGCACTGCTGCATAACAACATACCAAGACTGCTAACAGCTATAACATGTGATATTTACTGTGCTAAATGTTTATTTAGAGAATGTGTTACATGTAAGAATAAGACCATACAATATTACCTTCCACTACCAGATAAAGTGGTTATTTATAAGCAATGGATGTATCAAAGTTCAACATATGAAAATAATGGTAAAATGTAACAGTGCGTAAACCTATTAAAAAAGAAATAACTATTTCTCTTAAAAAACTAGTTTCTATATTAGAAGATACATTGCAATCATTTTTGATACATGCTGGAAATATTGCGCACCAGTATCAAACAATAGCACAGTTAAAAAAGAATTTGTCAGAAAATGACGTGCTGATTCATATTGATTTTAGCGAAAATTATTCCTGTAAATATGGGGAAGAAATTCAAGCAGTTCACTTTGGCGGTGGTAGGCAACAAGTAACGCTTCATACTGGTGTATTATATTTAAGAGACCTTAATAATATTGTCAAAGCACAATCTTTTTGTACTCTCTCTGGTAATAATCGACATGACTCAATGGCAGTGTGGGCTCATCTAAAACCAATATTCGATTGGCTAAAAGATAAAAGACCGAATATCCACACCGTACACCTTCTAAGCGACAGTCCAGTAAACCAGTACAAGAACAAGTTTATGTTCCATGTTGTCTTTCACCATTTAAGATATTTTTTTCCGGGTATTACATATTTTTCTTGGAACTATTCAGAACCCGGCCATGGTAAAGGAGCTCCAGATGGTGTAGGTGGTACCTTGAAAAGGTCTGCCGACCAAGCTGTCGCTGAAGGAAAAGACATAACAGATTTGACTGTGTTAAAAGACGTTCTGGTTTCAAAATGTCCATCAATAATGCTTATTGAAATAACCACTGCAGAAATTGATAAAACAGACAATTTAGTTAAAGAATCCGGTCCTGTTTCCACTTTTCGTGGTACTCAAAAAATAAGGCAATTTGTTTTCTTGGATGGTATGCTCGAGTTTAGAACGCTTTCATGTTTTGACTGCGTTAGAAAATGCCAACATTTTCACCTCGGCTATTACAAAGCTCGTAAAACTTTGGATAAAAACATAACTTCAGTAGCGATGCGACTTCAAAAAGCTAATTCTAGGGCACAAATTTTAAAAAATGACCTCCCAGCAAAAGATATTTTCGTATATAAAGTTGGTGATCATGTCCTTGTAAGATGGGATAGCAAGGTTTACCCGGGTGAAATCCTTTCAGTATGCAATGATGGAGCTTTAATCAGATGCATGATAAAGGCATCAAAATGCTGGAAGTGGCCCGCAATGAAGAACGAGCAACTCTATTCCTGGCATGACGTCCTTCAAATAATTGAACCTCCCAAAATGCTTAAAAAAGGTTGTTACTTTGTGGAGAAAATAGATAAGCAATAACTAAAATCGGAGAGAAAAAAAATTAGTTCATTTACGTTCTTTGTTTGATTATATTTTTAGGGTTAATATTGTTAGAGTGAAAGCTGAACCTTTATGATTATAAATAAATAAAATTAAAATTGTTATATTACTATAGATTGTAAAAAGTAGATGTTTTGCAATAAAAAAAGTCAATTGATTTATTTGTTTTTTTAAAGCCAAATAAAAATCATTCCCTCACGGAACTATCATTCCCTCATTTTTGAACATTATTTTTAACCCCTTACTCCCTTTTAAACTCAAAAAAGTTGGGGACCACTATAACGTTTTAGACAATTGGGCCATATACCATCAAATTTACAAAAGAAACTTCATAATAATTTTAAAAAAATAACATCAATTTAATCGAGTCATTTTTATTAATTTTTTGAGAAGCAGCCATATATCGAGTTTGATACATTTTAATTGCCAAATTGACTAACAACCGTTTTAATCTGACGTAGAAGCAGTTTTTCACAGTGAAAGTGAAGAGAATGTTTTTACCGTGTTTTTCGCTGACGTTCAGTAGGATGTAGCAGGTGTAAAGGCACAGGGCTGCCACTGCTATGTTGATAAAAATACCGGAAAATAGGCCTGTTTTTTCGAAACCCCATGACATCGCTAGCAGTGAGGAGCCCATCGTGGTGTTCCATATCGAAAAACTAAAAACATAAAAACAAATCCTATATGTATATACATATGTATACACAGTAAAAAATTTTGCCAGTGTAAATTTTTTAGTGTAGGGGTAAAAATATTAGAGTTGATTTGTAAGTGTAAAAGTCACACTACAAAATACACTAGGTAGCATTTAGTGCTTATTAACTTTATTAAACACATTTAAAGAATATGTACATTATTCATTGGTACATTCACACTATTATTAAAATAAATCAAAAGGGTAGAAAAACTTAATGCGAGTGTTTATTACCCCTTAATGTGTTAAATAGTGACAAAATGTACACTACAGTGCATGCAATTTCTTTGTCTGTTTTGATGTTACTAAGAGCTCTTTTTTCTTTACACTACTAGTGCACATTGTATCACAATTAAAGTTAAATTACACCAATAGTGGCAAAATAGACTGAAAAAACTGGTAATAACCGAAATGCGTTTTAAAATGTTTGGTTGGTACCTAAATACCTACGCAGTGCATATCCGGAGATACCGCGTTGTGGAAGTGTGGCATTTTTGTTCAGTTAGATTTCAATTACGGTGAATCCATAAGGGGACATTCTTATTTTTTGGTAAGTATTATGCTTCCTTTTTCTTTAAGCCTTAATACTCAATAATTTACGGCAGTAGGTCGGGTACTTGTAACATTAATAATATAAATACATACACACTTGATTTACTTTTTATTTTCAAGCGCAATGGTTGTTATATTAACCTATACCTACATTTTTATTAATATTATGGAAAATTTGTACACGTGTGGTAAATCCCCGACATACAGCCGCCTGACGCCTCTCTACCAATGGGATCACCCATTTTTTATAACAGAAAAATGGACTACTGATGAATTCTCAAGATAATTCATTGCTAACAAGTTGACAGCCAGTAAAACATTGCATTGATCTAAAACTTTTACGTTTTAAGGAACCATTTTGCTTAAGCCAGCCATACGACTCAAATATAAAATTAAATTTTAAAAGGCACCGATTTTGATAATTTTTATAGATTTTTGTTTCAAATAAATGTTTCTCTTTATTTACCTTTTCGTTTTATTCACTACCACCAATTATTGGTTATACTCAAATAATAGTGTTAATTTACACTAGAAGTTTTCACTAAAAGAGTAAAAGTACCTTTCTAAAATTAGAACTTTTCCAAAGTAGTGTTAATTTACACTGAACTAAAGTGGGATTTTACCCAGGAAGTGTAGAAGTACACGATTTTAGGTAAATTAACACTTTTTAATACAGTGTAAAATTACTTTATCCTCAGTGCTATAGTGTTAAATCATACTTGCTTAATTGGGGAAAATTACACTACAAATTAACTCTAATTGTAGTGTTATAAAACAACACCATTTAGTGTGGACCTGTGTGAACTCTAATTAGTGTTGCTTAGAGTTGATTTTTTTTTACTGTGTATTACTACGTATATTGTGGTGCGTAAAAACTTCCTAAACATGTTTATTAAAATTACAATAGAAATTTTTAACAGTGTAACAAGAAAAAGTATTTATTATTTACTTGCAAGTACATGTACAAGTACATGTATGTACTACAAGTCTTGTAGTATATTTGCTTGCGTTCTTTAAAAATCACTGCTTACCCCCCTGTATAAGAAACTAAGTAAAATGCACATCTGTCCCAAATTAATTTAATTTAACTTATTTAACCAATATATTTACTACGTTAAAACAATAATAAAAACCATTAAATTTACACTTTGCACTCATCAATAATGTTTATTGGTTTATTAATATTGAAGAGAGAAAATGAGCCAACATTCGTATGGAGTTTCGTCAGATTTTGAGAAATTTTTATCGAGCAGAAAATAACGCTCATTTATTTATTACTTATAAATAAAATATTTCGATTATCTTTGACTTTTCAAAGAGTTAACGGTCGGCCTTTTTAAACTTGCGGGTATTTTGATGTAACTAAACTTTGTTTTCGCAGTTTGCGGGAAACACTTTTAAAATAAAAAAACTCACCGACCGTTTAATAGTAAACAAAGACGTTCTTATCGTACAATTTGTGTTTTGTTAAATATGACATTTTATACTTGGTAATCTATAAATAGACTTTGTAGTCTTTATATAATACAATTTTTTTTTCGATTAAACTAATTACTTTATCAATAGTAAAATTTGTTAAATGCTCTGTATCTTCTAAACTATAAATTTTATTGCATTAATACGTTTAACATTTTTTGTAACAAATTAAATTTACTATAAAAGTATATTTTACTTTTTACCTGTGTACACGTTTAACCGTTTTGCCGTAAAACTAAATAGTATATGGGTGATTCTACAAAAGTTGGACAACTTGATGTCATCAGTCAATAGAGTAGGTATTTTAATATTTTTTGTAAATATTTTAGTATATTACAAAAGATTCAGGTTTTTTTAACTTGTCCACCCAATTTTAATGTATTTTTTCAAAAGCACGTTTGTAAAAAAAACAATAAATATTCAAAACACCAGTACCTTGGCGTCACAACTCCTGAATCAAATAGGAATGTTTTTATTTTAAAATTTATTCAATTTATCTTAAATTTTTCAATTTCACTACAAACTATAAAACATTAAATAAAAATTACCTACAGAGCCCGCCCTTTGCACGACAGTCATCTTGAAAACAATGCAATCGGCGAAGTTGTGGTGAATGCACGTATAGTTCCAGTCAAAATTTCAGTACTGTGGTGAGTAGTTATTTTCTTACGTATATATATTTCATTGTAATTTATGTAAGGCTATATGTGATTTGTTGATAAGTAGCATCCACTAATAAAAAATATCAGTAAAATACTTAATTCCGAATTATAATCTCAAATTTGTATCCCATTCATCAGTACCGTGTCGTCAGTTTCATGTTCGATGTTTCGGTTATCTTTTTTTCGAAAACTTCAATTTAAATTCTGCTTGCGCAGAACTTGTTTATTTAATGTCATTATAAACTCATATAAATTTGGTGTGGGTCCCATATCTAATAATTGAGATATCGGTATACCCAAAATCCACCAGCCGCCACTGATGTGCGGTATTATTTGATTTTAAGATATTTAATGTATAATATGCTCAAAGTTGCAATAAATCTTATATTTTCCAATAAATTATGTATTTAATTAGTACCCTGGTATACTCGTCACTTCCCTTGCATTCAAATTTAGAAAACACAGATATTTCGGAAACTGTTTGAAAAAGTGACTGACCCGGTCTGGAACAGTATATTTATTATATTATCTATGTTCTCATAACAAAATACTGTTTAATTTTTTCCGAAAACTATATAAACAAAATGAGGTCAAAAGTTGCCCAACTTTTGTAGAATTACCCATATCAATGGTTGTCTATAGCGTATCAACTTTAATTATGTAGGTACTTACATGGTAACCAAGGAACTTTGTGTGGTGCTTTTTCCTTCTGTTGTTGGTTCTTCAAAAGACCTGTATGGGTCTTTAAAATCTTTGCAGTCCTGTTATAAAATATATAAGGATTAATACTACCACAGTTATAAAATAAAATGAAATTTTGATGCATTTAAAATCAGAAATATTGTGAAAATATTTTAACTTGCATTATTAATAATTAAATATACAAGGTAATATAAAAATAAATTCAAATAATTGCAAATCGAACTTAAAAAATAATTAAATAATATTATTATTGAATTAATAACATTTTTCATAACCAAGACGTAGTAATTAAAATTATTTATAAACAATTTTAGATAAGTTTTCGGTAATGAAACCGATGACACAATTTTTATTGGGTTTTAATTTTTTTGTTTATAAATTTTTTAAAACATTCCCACGTGGTTTTTACATACGTTCTTGGGAGATAATAACAATGATTATTATTAAAAATAAATAATTGCATCATTTAACGAAATATTTAGGTTTATACGTCATAAATTGTTAATATAGTAATTTAAGAATCTTCCGTTTTCGGAGGTTAATTGTTTAATTTAAGTATTTATAACATAAAAATGGAAAAAACAATTTGGAAAAAACTGAAAACCCATTAAAATAAAAAACCCTTATAAATTCGGTATATCGAATTTATAAGAATTTTAAAAAAAGTATTTTTAATTGCTGAATTTTTTTCAAAATTTAATTTTTTTTTTAATTTTTGGAAATTATATAAAATTTGAAAATATTAAAAAAAATTGAAATCTTTATGACAATTTTTAAGACATTTGGACATACATTTTTAAAATATAAAAAAACCTTTTTGGCAAGAGTTTTAATTGGTCGCGAGCAAAACTGGCGAGCGAGTGTTTAATAAAAACAAGTGTCCAAAGAGGTTTATAACACAGTGGCGAACTATACTTTATATACGACAAACACAAAGAAGAATTTAAGTCAGATGAATTTAACCTCACTTTTTAGCAATTCATAAGAAAGCTAACTTCAGCTCATGTACAATTTTTTAAATAATTCGTATAAATACAGTAAACTTTGAGTTAGAATATGAATTTTACAATATTGGACAATTTGTTCGGGTGTGAGCATCACACCACCTAAGATAACCAATGAAATGATTTCCCGCTTGAAATAAGACGCCGGCCGGTCGCTCAACTGCAATCTGCATCATCACTTTGCAGTTTTAGTTAGTGTTAGGAAGTGTATCATTGTGAGGTTAGTACCACATTTCTGGTGAGTAATTATTGAATATTATTTTTCCGAATAGGTGGGTAGGTATTTGCAAAATTGTTCAGGGACTGGGATAAATTAATAATTATGACCTGGTGATCAAATGAGGATAAAAAGTGTTTCTATGTTCCTACTGTGCTACATTATGGATCAGCTTACTATTTACTTTAGTTTGTAATTTATGTTTTCAGTTTATATTAACTTAATTCTATCCTAAAATTTTTGTGTTGGTCGCTGAATACATATTTAATCTATCGACATTTGTACTATTATAAGTGGAGACGCACTTCATGTTGAATTATATCTCAATATTATTAGAATTAGCTGTACGAATTTTATTTTTCAGTTTGTAGTTTATGTTTTGGTATGTTTATTTTATGTTGTCAGTGTCAGCTATATTAAGTTAAGGTATTCTATTTTCCATATATTTTGTATAAGTCGCTGAATTCATAGGTATCTAAATTTATAATTTAGTTTCATTTTACTTTTCATCACCCTCCCATTCCAAAAATTATTACAACAAAAATTTGCTGACCCAACATTTTTAATACAATATGTGTGATTAAGGATAATTTTACCTTGACTGTGATAGTACTTATTCCATTTTTCTCCAATGAAATTTCCTCCATGATTGGTACCAATAAAAAAATCACAAAAATTCCACACAAGCACAAAAATCTACAAAAATTCACTTGTCACCGATTTTTTAATTCATTATTGAAAGAAATCCGATAAGAACTGATAATTTTTAACAAAAGACAAGCTGTTTAAATCGACAGATTAAAATCGGTAGTAAATTTTTATAGTCGAAACAATTGCTGCTGCACGCTTTCAAACCGACCAATCACGAGATCGATTAGTTAAATATATACGAAATACATTGCGTCATATTTAACAGAAATGTGCACTATAGACAAAAATGCAATCTGACTGAAGCGACAATTAAATACCTGGAATGTATAATACTACTACTAATTAATTTATACAGGACAAATCACAAATAAGCAGGCACATCATATAATCATATAAAAAAGTAGTTAAATATAGGTGACTACGGCCCAGGAGAGACAAAGTATTCCTATCGGATAATAATCTTCGCTTTGAAAAGAATTCCGAAATTAACATTTTGTATTCGTTTACTCGCATCTACTAGGTATAAACGCATACGGCATTGTAGTAGCTATTCGATGGCTATAGACCCGCACGCATTCAAATATGAAAAACTTCCCTTCTACATGTCGGGCCCACTCTAAATTTTTTTTTATTCAAAGGTAACATAATAAACTTCGATTTTATGCTATTTAAAAAAAAATTAAAAATACACATTGTCTCAAAAAATGCAAAATTTTGCAAAATTTAAAAAATAAATTGCAATTTTTTTTTGTTGCAAAAACGGTATAGCCCATTGAAAAGTACGGAAAAAATCATTTAAGGTGGTTAAATTGAAATTTTTAATAAAGAGATGAACAGAAGTTATGAATTTTTAAATAAAAAGTGATTTCACCAAAAAGTAAAAAATCGATAAATTTTTTGAATGAACAATCCTAGAGCAAAAAAATTGTATGCTATGATTCTTCGTTAACAAAAATTTTTTCACTTGGTACACTTGGCAAATTTTGCCCCATATACTAAAATATTTACAAAAAATATTAAAATACCTACTCTATTGACTGATGACATCAAGTTGTCCAACTTTTGTAGAATCACCCATATAATAAAAAAAAATGAACTGTTATTATAAAAATTACTTACCAACGAGGAGTCATTAGTTGCAGAATAAATTCCTATTGAACTAGAAAAATCTTGACAACTGTTAAACGTGTTTGAACTTGAGTATTTTTCAGAGCCACTAAAAGGCGAGGAAAATTTCAGAGACCTAAAATTTTGAATATTGTGGGATCCACAGAATGAATATAAAAAAAATAACCTTACCTTTTCGAAAATTTCCTGGTCATTCCGGTATATATAGGCAATGTAGTGGATTTTCTGCTGTTTTTGTCGAAGTCGCTTTCTGACAAGTCTGATTCTGGATTGAAAATGCAAGATTCCAAAACAGTCCTGAAAAAACACAAAAATTACTATAAAACTAAAATTTTACCATCAATAATTTCTTGGTTAATTTTTTTTGCAGAATTAATAAATTAATTGCGAACAATAACAATAAACACTTACTGGGAACATGAACTTGATGCGATGTTTTCAAGATTTTATATTGGTTACTTAACAGAAGATGTGAGAAGAATCTTCTATATTTAGACTTGCTTGAAAGACTTAAGAATACGGTTACGACAGTGGCGGCTCGTGGGTGATGCTACATGAGGTTAATTTTGTCTAAATACTAATAAATTTGTTTTGTAAAACTTTAAAATTAGTCAACTCTCTTGATAAAAAATTATTAGCGGCAAGAAACAATATTTTAGCATAAAAGAGTATTTATTGCTTGAAGAAAAAAGTTCTTAGTTCTCTTGAAAACAAATACAAAATCTCTTGAATGTTTCTTCTTTCAAGTGCAAAAAGGTTTTGTTCAAAAGCTATAAAAACTATTTATATTTACGCAATTAATTCAAGATACATCACAATTATCCCAATAGCATGTCAATTTTACAACAAAATCTGGTAGCTCACACCGTTTGCGGCACACGTGTTTAGTACGTTTTGTATCATTGCAACTTGCAATTCGCCATTTTCTAGGGGCAGTGATATAATATTATAATTCTATTATAGGTATTTCTAATATACATTTTCCCGGTTGTGTTGTGTTGTGGCGTGTTGTATGTACTTTAACGATGGAGTTGGAATCATTACAGATCTTTTTAAATAAATTAAATTTAATTAATTTGTTTAATGTTTTTAAAGGTAATGTATCAATTAAAATTTTTAATACAATTTTTATTTTAAATCATATGTATGTTACTTTATTAGTGTTAGTATTTTGTTGATATCAAACAATAAATGTCTTATGTTATTTAATTATTTTTTTTGTAAACCTTCTTTTAATCAATCTTCTAGTTTTCAACGATGCCAATATTTGAACTACCCTCACTACGAAGGTCCTTGATTTTAATTGTTAAATTCATGTTTTAATAATTAAAATCAAAAGGCCTATGTGGTGAGGGGAATTTAAGCTTAAATACTAACAACGCTGGTAGTTTTACCAAGAGATATTTGCTCTAAAATCAAAATAAAATGTGGTTAGGTCAATAGTATATTCTTTTGTAGCAAGACAAATTTTCTTTCTTAGAAAGTTCCTAAACTTTTCAATTAAGAGATGCAGTTTTCTTGTTAAAATCCCATTTTTTTCAGCTAAAAACCGTTTACTACATTCAAAAGAGAAATAACATCCGAAGAAATATTTTTGGTTCTTGTACCAAGAAATCGCTTGCTCTTGATTTAAGCTAATATTGTAATATCCTTAAACGAATAGATTAATCTCTCCCTTTAAGTAATTTAAAAAAAAATATGTAAAGATAGTTTCTGATTTAGATTAAGAAACATAGCTTTTGGCCCTATTCAAAACCTCAAATCTTTTGAATCAAATTCATTTTCATTTCTTTTAATAGATTATTTTTTTCAGTGCATGATTGATTGATTTTTTACTTGTTATTGTGTAGAACTGTAGTATACTAGTAGTAGTAGTAGTAGTATACTATAAAAGGTAAAAATCTGAGAGTGTGAGGCGTGGCCTCAGAAGCCTACCCTGACGAGCCGCCACTGGGTGACATACAGGTTTTTCCTGCTATAGCTATAATTATAATTGAACTATTTTTATTGAGGTCATTTATGAAATGTTTTTTTAAAGATAACGACTGCCTCAAAATTTATTTTTGTTCTTGAATTTCCAACTGTTAATTTTAAGGTTTATAATGCAAAATATAAAAAACACTCACCCAAAACTATTGCTGGAAGAAATTGATGCCATTAACGGCTGAGACTCTGCTTCAGAATCAGACTCCGATTTCCTCGATATGATGTTTCGATAATTCCTTATTAAGTCTGTAAAAAATAATTTTTACAAAAATATGGAACACATTCATTAAAAAATGTGCATTTTTCCCAAAAAATTCCTTGAACACGTCGATTTTGTTTTTTATTTCCGCATATTTTAATGTAAGTAATAATAATAATAATAATATATTATTATAATAATAATAAAGTGTGCCTCATGATTTTTAATTAAGGTTCGATTTTTTTTAAATATGGTATTAACCTTCATTGTTCTAGAATAATATCTCCTACGAAAAAAAAATTTTGAAAATTGATAATTTTGAACAATGCTTAACTTTGATACTCACAAAACTCATATGGAGGAAAAAATAAAAAATTAATATTTTTAGAAATTATGGTATACTCTTTAAAAATGAATTATTCAAAAATGACTTATTTAATAGGTGGCTAGTTTTTCACTTGTATCATGGTTAACCATGGAATACCATGGTATTCCAAAATTCACCAGCCAATTCTTATGTAAAATTGTCCCCTGAATCCGAAAATGTCTTCAAAAGTTAAAACAGTTGAACAGTTTTTGAGATATAGTCAATTCCATATTAAATGGAAAATTGACTATATCTTAAAAACTGTTCTACTTTTTTTTTACCTTTTGAAGACATTTTCGGATTCAGGGGACAATTCCACACGGGAAATGAAATATTTTTTGCAAAGTTCATAAACATTTCTTTTATAAACACTTTTAAATTTTATCAAAACCAAGGATTTTTTTGAGAAAAAAAAATAAAAAGTAAAAAAACCATACCTCTCATGTTGATGATGTTTTGTAGCTCACAATTTTACTTGAAGAAATAATTAATATAAATTATTCACTAATTAATAATTAGTTATTTCTAAAAATCTTGGTGCTTTTTTAATTTCACAACACTATTTTTTAAAATTTGTATCACAGTCATTTTAACCATTAACACACAGAAAAGTTTTCAAAATATTTGTTAATTTTTGATGGTGCTTTTATCGCTTCAAGTCGATCACTAAATAATAAGTAAACATGCTCGATTTTAAATAGTGTTCTTAAAAAAAAGATAATTGGCCGATAAGATTTTTCGTTTTTATCGAGAAGAACGGCCGTATGTTTATTCCACCGTTCTATTAATTCCTTAACGTTATGAATTGGGACTGCATACACCAAGGATTTTAAATATCCCCACACACAGGCCACAGAATTGGCCCGCTATAAAATTATTTTCTATAAACTTTTATAAATCAAAAGTTGTTTATATAAAAATATATTGTATCTATTAATTTAACTTTAATACTGCATATTTAGGGTTTTATCAGCAAGGTTATTAGTGAGTAACAAAACTATTTAATAAAGTTTGAGGCCAGCTAACGTAATGCACTGCAACTGATAAACACTTTTTGTGATAATTTTTCTTAAATAATAACAATAAACAAGGAAGGATTTGTATCAATATTAATTAAACTAAGCAACATTTTTACTTACAAATAGATACAATATTTTTTTTAATCGACTGCTTATAAAATTTTTTAGGGGGCACAGTAAACAAATATTTTAGTGTTCTCCCACGTGAAAGTTCTAGAGTGAAAAAGTTAGTGTTAAACATCACACTATTACAAGTTGACAGCCAGTAGAACAAAAGTGGGATTTTACCCAGGAAGTGTAGAAGTATATCGTGTATACACGATTAACATTTTTTAATACAGTGTAATATTACTTTATCCTCAGTGCTATAGTGTTAAATTATATTTGCTTACTTGGGAAAGCTTTTTTTGCTGTATATATACACGCAATAGAATAAACCATTTTTTATCGAATCGAAAGAAAATGAAGATAAAGTCGAACAGGTGGTGGATCTGTTTGATTGATCAAAGCCAATTTGTCATTTTGTTAACAAACGACACAACCGTCACAAAATATGTCAATTCCCGAAGTTTTATTTTGCAGTTAAATCAGATTTTTCCCCCGAAATTTACCCGTCTCAAAAGTTAAATGGAAAACGCAACCACCTTGTTTAAAAGTCACTATAAAAAATTTCTTGTCGGCTTGTCCAGCGCATTGGCGATTTATTTGTTTCAGAGGTATGTGTACAAAAGGGTGTTCGATAAAAAGGACAAGAAAGCAGAAGAATTTCCAACGATAGACGATATTCAGAAGTTTATCGAAGACTTGCCTCTGGATTCTATTAAATTAGATAAAACGATTAGTTTAAAGGATTTATTGGGTAAGACAAATTGCCACCTTGCGATCTTTTTTCAACGAAAAATCTTTGATGATAGAGCAGTTTCGAGACAACTCATCTTCTCCTAAAGACACCACATCTTCAGGCATGTGATATAAAACCATCAATTAGAGCGTTTTTTTTTTCAGGAGAGTTGTCGGAATTTAGCGACGATGAAGAGTGGAAGGAACTTATACAGAGTGTTCAAACTTTATACCAAGAAAACCAAAACTGCTAATTTAGTATGAAATACGAAATTTCCAGCAATTTATAGAAAAATAAAATGCATACATACATTATGATTTAATATGTTTATTATGAAAATATATATAAAATATGGCAGCCAGTTAATAAATAAATTATAATTATATTATATTTGCTAGTTTTATTTCAGCATGCTGTCTGTAAAATTACTTATGCATATGTTGTTTTTATTTGTGTTTGTAATATGCAGTTCCTCTGTTTTGGTAGCACTGTATCAAGGCGTCTCCGTTAAATCCTGGTGGGCAAGTACAAACAGCAAGATGTCTTCTGGGATTGCAGTTGGCGTTGACTCCACATTGACCAATGCAGGGGTTTTGACATCTGAGAAGAAACAAACAAGTTGTTTGTACAATTATGTACAATTATGTACAATTATTGTACAATTATTGTACAATTATGTACAATTATGTACAATTATTGTACAATTATGTACAATTATTGTACAATTATGTACAATTATTGTACTATGACTTACTTGTAGTCGATGCAGGCCTGACTGTCCGGACAATGGCTGTCATCTGTGCATTCCCCTCTTACGCAACCTCTCAGGGGATCCCCTGTATATCCTGTCAAGCAGGTGCATACAGGGCGTTCTTTATTGGTGCGATCGAAACCGGGTTGACATTTGGCGTTGGCCCCGCATGGGTTTGGTTCGCATAAATCCTCTGAAAATAACATAAAGAATAATAAATTTCGTACTTTCAACCCAGTATACTAACGTGAAGTAAACGGTCTACACATGGTGAAGGGATCTCCGGTCATATCTCTTGGACATGAGCAGATTGGAGTTAGGCCTCTTAGCTCGCAGTTGGCGCCGATGCCACAGACACCGTCGCATGGATTCTTGCAGGAATTGTAAAAGCAAGCGGGTTTAGATCTGGGACAGTCGCCGTCACTGGTACACTCAGGTTGGCAGGAAGAATACGGGTTTCCAAAATATCCCTATGATACAAAAAACGGATCTTTAGACCTGAAGTTGGAGCTTGGTGATTTGCGAATCTTCCGATATCTCAGTTATTATATGCAAACGAGAAAATATTGGCTGTAAAGCAATTTACAGTGAATTGAAGATTTGAACCCTTGTGGGAAATATAGACTTTATCCAATGTTGTGAAGATTGAATGTCTGTTGAAGGCTTTGACTGCAAATACTTCAGAGAAGTATTAAGAAACTTGACACATTGAGAGGTATTCAGCACCTTGAATTTCCTACATAAAATTCCTATTCATCATAAAATATTCAAAGACTATGAAGGTGAAAACGTTCACGTAAGATAGAATAAATAATATTCATCAGCACGAGTTTTGAACACTTGACTCAGGTGTAGAAATCAGAACGTACATCAACTTTGACTGTGGATACATCAGAGAGGTATTGAGAAACTTCCATTTATTATTCATCACAAAATATTCAATGACTATGAAGGTAAAAATACAAAGTAAAGGGTGGGCCATCTATAAGTTGAATTTTAAACTACGTGCTATTAATGAAGCTTTCAACTTAAGCGCCATGAATTGCTGACAGTGGTTTAGTTTTAACCAAATATGCACCGAATAAATTTGGATCAACGTTTCGAAATACTCAAAACTTACTTTGAATGTGACTGTGATCGCAGAGACGGCAAGAAAATTGCGTTTGGAAGAAATGAGGCGTCGTCAAACCAAAGTATTACAAATTTGATCAAAAAATTGCGCAGAAATGGAATGCTGGTGGACATAAAACATGTTTCGCATGCTCGTCCTAGACGTGCACCTGAAGCAATCGCTGCTGTGGCCGAAAATGTACGCATGAACGCGTCAACATCAACTCGGCGCAGATGTCAACAACTCGGCCTTTCCCGTACCACTCTGAGGATGATTCTGCACAAAGACCTCGGTATGTTTGCGAACAAAGTCCAGCTTGTTCAGGAGTTAAAGCAAGTTGACCATTTACAACGTTTTCGCTTTGCTGAGTGGGCGTTAAACCAGTTGAACGATTACCCTAATTTTGCAAGAAAAATCATCTTTTCGGATGAGGCGCATTTTTACCTCGGAGGTTATGTCAACAAGCAAAACTGTAGGATTTGGGCCACGGAAAATCCACACGTCGCCGTAACAAAGCCTAGTCACCACTTAAAACATAACATTCAAGCTCAAATTGCCTAAATAGAGCAACAAAGTGCTCGAAAATTGGTGTTCCAGGATTGGCTACTGCCGAGCCAGCTGAGGTGGCCACTTAAATAAAATCATTTTCCGTACTTAATCGGAAGAAATATTGTATCAAATAAAGCAAAATTCGTTGAAAAAAAATCATTTTTTCTTGTTCTCATTGCTATTTTATAATTCAACATAGTATTCGGAGACATAAGCTGCGAGTATAAAAGATCAAAGTTTATTCAAAAGTGTTTTTTCTTACTCTGGGGCATTTGCAGACTGCCTGGTGATTCCTTATGGTTTCGCATTCAGCGTTTTGACCACATTGGGAAGTGCAAGGATTTTGACATTTAAATTGTATGCAAGCCATTGTGGGTCCACATTCCGAATCACCTTCGCATTCGTGACGACACCCGGCCAATGGAGAACCGTGATAGCCTATAAAATATACGATTAAAAATTTATCAAATTTATTGAATTGTGTTTTTAATAGAAATAACTTTAACGTACCAGGTATACATTTGCAAGTTGGAGTACCATTTACCACTTCGCAGTTGGTATTTTGTCCGCAAGGGCTGGGGTGGCACAACTCCTCTAAAATACTTGTATTAAAATATCTTATTTATTTAACAGTGAAACTTTTCCTACCAGGATCAAACCGTCTACATCTGCTGAAAGGATCCCCTGTATATCCAGCAGGACACGAGCACACAGGAACATGATTCCTGGCATCACAGTTGGCATTTGTGCCGCAAATGCCATCGCAAGGATTAATGCAGACGCCGTTTCTGCAAGTCTGGTGTCCTCTGCATTCAGAGTTATCCAAACACTCCGACCTATAAAGTAGGTGTTGAAATTATTTTTAAATTATTAGTGGAAGAAGTATAGTTTTCTTGAAAACAAATACAAAATCTCTTGAATGTTTCTTCTGCAAAGTGTTTTTGTTCAAAAGCTATGAAAATTATTCATATTTACGCAATTCATTCAAGATACATCACAATTATCCCAATGGCATGTCAATTTTACAAGAAAATCTGGTAGCTCACATTGCAACTTGCAATTCGCCATTTTCTAGGGGCTGAGTTATAATAGATAGAAACAATGTAATCTTCATTTCTTTTAAGAGATTATTTTTTTCTGTGTACCTTTTGCATAAGCTGATTGGATCGCCGGAATACCCCCTTAAACAGGAACATACAGGGCGTCCCCCCACCACTTGGCATTGCGCGTTTTGACCACACGTGCCAGAGGAACACGTGGAGACGTAGGACATTGCTAAAAAATTAAAATTTATTAGTTTCTATTAATAAAATAAATCAATAAATTAACGGATTATTTTTTTTGAGTTTAGTATTTGAATTATGTAAAGTGTGTGGTGTAATCATGAGTGTTGTGTAGGTATAAGTAAGTAAAGTGTGTTAAGTAAAAAACACATTTCAAAATATTTTTTATAGTTATTTGTCAAATTAAAACAATATTCAATAACAAAAATACTTTTGTCAAACAACTTATGGTTTAGAGGTCAAATTGTTTATTTAATATTTTTAAATAAATATATATTAATATGTCGCAACATTTTTTAAGGGTGCGACAAATATATACTTTTCACTGTCATATTATGACAGTGAGGCGTATATGTCGTCTCCTGAAGAATTTTACGAATTAGAATACAACATATTAGAACGTGGGTATCTGACATATTTGGAAATATTCTCAAAAGCTTCCTAGAAGCTCCATAAGAAACCTTCCAAGAATATTCCAAAAACGTATTCCATAAATGTTTTTAGTATGCATTTTAGGAAGATTTTAAAAAGCTTTTAAGAGTCTAATTGCATCATTAAAAGGGTATCTATTGAATGTTTTAAAAGTCCCTAAGAACATTCTTAGCAATAAGGGAAGGTTCTAAGAATATTCCACTATTCCGGTTCATATCTTTTTAGAAGATTCTTAAAATAAAATTTCTTCTGAATAGTTGTATTGGCTCTCAGAAAAAAAAACATAAAAGGCCTCCAAATTAGATGAAAGATCCTTGATTGTGTTTTTTATTATAATTGATTTAAATTTAAATAAACAAATTAACTAATTGTAAGGCGTCCTACATGCAAAACACTTATATAAATCAACCCACTATTATTTTTAAATTCCTTCTGCATTAAATAATAAAAATAATATAAACATCGCAGTATTTTTTTTTCAAAACAGGTAATACTTTTCTAGTATTTTCTTAGTAAGTTGGTATTCCGAACTTACCATATTAACAATGTTTTTACATATTTTGAAACCATTGAATTTTTTTATGATATTAAAGTTGTTTAAAATTAAATTTGAAAGAGGAGGTGCATATGATTTGATTTAGATTATAAAGGTGCAGTGACTATATGACGGTTGTCCGTTATTTCCGAAAATGGCGTTTTATACTGGTCAAGATATAAATTAATTAATTATACGCTAAAGTAGTTTTTTCACAAAAGAGGGGAAGAGGTCTTACTCGACAAATTTTGTTACGTTGCAAGGAAAAAAATAAAAAACTGGTTTACTACTCGATTTCGATTGATTATTCCTTATATCATTGATTAAGAAACTCAACGCTTAAATGCTTATATAGTTACGTTAGTGTGTGTATTTTATCTAAGGGATCATGGTGAATTATTGTGTTTTTAATTGTAAATAAAATTCAAGAACTAAATCGTTGCATTTTCATGTTTTGCCAAAGGATCCAATTCGGTAAGTACATTTGGTGGTGCAGATTTAACTAATGATAACTTTACCTAATAAAATTTATATTTTGTAATGGTTCCGAAAAAGAAACACCCTGTATAAATTTATTATAATACGTGTAATTAATATTTTATTTTTCTAACTTTAAAGTAGGATTAAGCTATAAAACTTTATGTTTAAGGCAAGTAAAATTTCAAATTTAGGTAGAAAATTTGCAAGCAAACAAGAGAGGTATACTTGGAGCTTGAAAAAAGGGCACATCTGGCGTACACATCGGGCTAGGAATTTCCACTAGAGGTAAACGAAAAAGGTTTTTGAAAAAGAGAGATGAGGCAGAAGCGGTTTGAATTTTGTGCAGTACAGTTCGTTTTCTTTGGTAAAATTGTAAAAGTAAATTATTGTTCGAAAATCATTGTTAAAAGTGTTGTTAGTGTATTCTACAAGGTTAGTTCTAAATATTTAATCTATTTAAATGTGTAGTAAAATTAACTAAACGTAATATTGTGCATTTTCAAATTGTTAAGCTTATTATTATATAATTATTGCTATTATGGGTATATTTACCCTTTTCTATTACGTTTAGCTGTATTTTACGTTAGTTTTAATCCTTTTCTTTTAGCTATTACCACCCCTATTCTCGCTTTTATTATTATCACTATAATTTTAATGCTTTGCTATGTTCAATGCTTGTATCGCTCAAATGTAACCTTGTATTTTGTTTGTGCTTAACCCATCATTTTGTACCCTTTTTCTATAACGTGGTTAAGCATTGTTTTATGATCAGTCCAAAGTTATTAATGTATTGCGAAATTACTCGGTGCTTAACCAGGAGTGCTGACCGTTATTGTTCCAACTTTGAGTACTCCTTGTTTGTGTGCGTGGGCCTTTGTTGTATGGACTAATATTTTTCTCCCGTGAGGGGACAAGGTTGCCCTAGGTTCTCTAGGGTTGCTTCGCTTTTCCCCGACCCTTCAACTAAACTAGGCGGGTTGCCTCCCATATTGGGACCTCGTTACATTCTGGGCCTAGCCCGGCTAACTAACCCCAATATTCTTCAGTTTTATATCTTTGTTTAAATGCAGTATCGAGCCATATCGCAAATACATTAATTTGTGTAATTTTTAAAGTACAATGCCTGACCGCGTATTCCTTTGCTACTTCATAGCCGACCAGGGTTTTTTCTCAGGCTCTTTTTCCCTGGCCGAACCCTCCTAAGAGCCACCCCTTGCTTGTTTGTAAAAAGTTAACGTAAATTAAATTGGGGTAAATTAAGCCACTGTATTTTATTTCTTATAAACCTATTTCTCCCACGTATCATTCTTAAAGCAATGCATCTAATAAAACAAGTAAGTAAACACAGCGTAGAGGTCCAAATTTGGGTAAGACGATCACGAGCCAAAGCCACGAAATATTTAATGTATCAATTTTTCATAAAACTTGTTTTAAACGAACCTGGGGTAAAGAGAAATCTTTACATTTTTGGTGCGAGTGACCAGGATGCATTGCAAAAGAAAAAACTTTGTGGAGAAGTAGGTTTATTGCAGTACCGGATTGTCTCTAGGGTTTATGTCTAGGGGCGAGGAATTTCCTAAGTCCGGCACTGTACTCTGTTTATAAAAATCTAATCCATTTGATATTTTTTTCGGTAAAACTTATGACGGAGGAAAACCTATGCAACAATTTAAGGCAAACTAACGAGGAAACCAAAACCTTCAACAAAAGTTAAGGATATTCAAGAAGAAAAGCAAAAGTTGATTGTAAAACAAAAAAACTCCTTATGGGCCTTTAAAGAATGGATCTGTACAGGAAAATAAAATAAAACAATGCAGCATCGAAAACTTAAGGTTCAACTTGGAGGAAAACAGGAAATGGGTGACAAAATTCAAATATAAAAATGAGATAAAATAATATTTCTTTCAGCGATTAATCTTTTTATTTTTTTTATTTTTTATTTAAAGAATATGGGCGAAATATACCGAGTGTTGTTTAAAATGTGGCCCAAACTTGGTTACCTTTATATTGGACACCTGTCGGTGCCAGACATATCCCGGCATTCGCCAAATTGGTGATAGGGATCGGTTTCGATGCCATTGTGTCCCCCCACGTGGGCCCCCAAGTTGGTAAATCAGTTATTTGAAAGTAGTAGTGGTTTCTTGCATGAAGCCAGCTGCTTGGCCTTGTTGTCTGTTGTCCCGCAACTTGGTAGTGTAGCTAAAACTTCTTTTGAAGCTAGCTGCAAAACATCGCAATGGCGCAGCTGAATCACTTATAGTGGCAGCTGAATAAAGTAGTAAGGGCGCAGCTGAATCACTTATAGTGGCAGCTAAGTAAAGTACTAGGGGCGCAGGTGAATCACTGATAGTGGCAGCTGAATAAAGTAGTAAGGGTGCAGCTGAATCACTTATAGTGGCAGCTGAGTAAAGTACTGGGGCGCAGCTGGATCTTCTTTGAAGACAGTTTTGTGGTAAATCGTCGGTTTGTGGTTTTGAAACGACTAGTTAAACATCTTTTGGTGTAACTTAAAGAAGGGGTTTAGGTGAAAACCTAGTCTTATTATTTTTCAGGCTTTTTTTTTAGTTTGTTGCTAAATTTATTTTTAAATTTGGTGATCATGTTTAGAATAATGATGAAGCCGGCAAGGACGTAGATGACTGACAATACTTCAGAATAATTTAGTTTTGATCAGATTTAATGTGAGCTATGATGTACGTATTCATAACGTATATGAGCAGGGACGGACTCAGCCCGAAGGACAGCTGTGAGCAGGAGCGTACTTAACCCAAAAGGTTAAGGGGATGTTAAAAGTTCAGCAAGCCTCCCGAGGTCATTTGCCAAGCTTTTAAAGGGGCCTCTGTAATGGTTCCGAAAAAGAAACACCCTGTATAAATTTATTATAATACGTGTAATTAATATTTTATTTTTCTAACTTTAAAGTAGGATTAAGCTATAAAACTTTATGTTTAAGGCAAGTAAAATTTCAAATTTAGGTAGAAAATTTGCAAGCAAACAAGAGAGGTATACTTGGAGCTTGAAAAAAGGGCACATCTGGCGTACACATCGGGCTAGGAATTTCCACTAGAGGTAAACGAAAAAGGTTTTTGAAAAAGAGAGATGAGGCAGAAGCGGTTTGAATTTTGTGCAGTACAGTTCGTTTTCTTTGGTAAAATTGTAAAAGTAAATTATTGTTCGAAAATCATTGTTAAAAGTGTTGTTAGTGTATTCTACAAGGTTAGTTCTAAATATTTAATCTATTTAAATGTGTAGTAAAATTAACTAAACGTAATATTGTGCATTTTCAAATTGTTAAGCTTATTATTATATAATTATTGCTATTATGGGTATATTTACCCTTTTCTATTACGTTTAGCTGTATTTTACGTTAGTTTTAATCCTTTTCTTTTAGCTATTACCACCCCTATTCTCGCTTTTATTATTATCACTATAATTTTAATGCTTTGCTATGTTCAATGCTTGTATCGCTCAAATGTAACCTTGTATTTTGTTTGTGCTTAACCCATCATTTTGTACCCTTTTTCTATAACGTGGTTAAGCATTGTTTTATGATCAGTCCAAAGTTATTAATGTATTGCGAAATTACTCGGTGCTTAACCAGGAGTGCTGACCGTTATTGTTCCAACTTTGAGTACTCCTTGTTTGTGTGCGTGGGCCTTTGTTGTATGGACTAATATTTTTCTCCCGTGAGGGGACAAGGTTGCCCTAGGTTCTCTAGGGTTGCTTCGCTTTTCCCCGACCCTTCAACTAAACTAGGCGGGTTGCCTCCCATATTGGGACCTCGTTACATTCTGGGCCTAGCCCGGCTAACTAACCCCAATATTCTTCAGTTTTATATCTTTGTTTAAATGCAGTATCGAGCCATATCGCAAATACATTAATTTGTGTAATTTTTAAAGTACAATGCCTGACCGCGTATTCCTTTGCTACTTCATAGCCGACCAGGGTTTTTTCTCAGGCTCTTTTTCCCTGGCCGAACCCTCCTAAGAGCCACCCCTTGCTTGTTTGTAAAAAGTTAACGTAAATTAAATTGGGGTAAATTAAGCCACTGTATTTTATTTCTTATAAACCTATTTCTCCCACGTATCATTCTTAAAGCAATGCATCTAATAAAACAAGTAAGTAAACACAGCGTAGAGGTCCAAATTTGGGTAAGACGATCACGAGCCAAAGCCACGAAATATTTAATGTATCAATTTTTCATAAAACTTGTTTTAAACGAACCTGGGGTAAAGAGAAATCTTTACATTTTAAGTTTGGCATTTTTAAGAAATTAGTAAAAAATTATTTTTGCACAAACATAACCTTAAAATCAACCATTTTTATATTTGAGTTCTCTAAAAAACGCCGATAACTGCATTTTAAACAAAGAAAGGAAAAATTATCATATTTTATGAGCAGGTTAAACGGCATTGGGTTAAAAACAATCGATTTAGGCCATGACCAAGTAGTACCTTAAGTCCAAATTGGGAAATAACTGACACCCTTATATGACTTTTTCGGTTAATTCGGGAAAATTGATTTTTCAAGTAAAAACCTCTATAATTTAAGGCTGATTGCACCGAAGTCCTTCCATATTTGTCCGTAATATACACATTATTATCGTTAATGGGTCTTGTATATCTATAAGGGTGGTTCACATAGGGATTCACGTATTCTGAATAGCGCTCGTAAGGATATATCTCAGGATAATTGTAATTTAGTATCCTGTACTGTCTGTAATTAGAAGGCTCACCTAGTGCTGTAGACAAGCATTGCAGGATAAGTATCGATGAAAATATCGTTAAGGTACCCATCTGAAAGAAACAGAATACTTAAGTTAGGTAGGGTAAAGTATCACTTAAATTTAAAAAAATGATGTACAAAAAGATTAACTTGGATAAATATTCTGCAATGACACCCAGTATATTAAAACAAATATTTCAAAAAAATGCACATTGGTTCTTAGAAATAATGTAAAATGTATTTTCCAAAGTACATCAAATAAAAACACATTAAAATTCAATTACCTACCTTAAAAATTTTAATACACATCCGCACCACACAAAATCAACATAACAACTAATTTAATTGAATAAACAAACCAAAATAGTTAACTAAATAAGAAAACACCTTATCCCCCACTTGTATCGCCTATGAAAAAAAATCAGCTTTACATGTGGGTACAGTCGCAACAATAATATTGAATTTATGTTAATGTTTTTAATTTTTAAAACGTCTTAAGAAATTAAAAATAAATTAACAATAATTATAAAATTATTTCCTATATAATGTTTTTAACAAAATAAAATCGATTTTTGGCAAAAATTCTGCAATATTCAAATTAAAAGTTTTTTAATTTAAATTACGACCATTGAGTAAATCTTACTCAATGTTACGACATAAAAATTGTGCCTTTGACTGTACTCGTATATTCTTTGTTTCATTTTCCTTAGTTTATCTAATCTTTTTGGGTGGGCGGGTTACCACACTGAAAATGCAAATTTCAAATTCAATTCATGGTTAGGTATTCTTGCTAAAATTTATTGTTAAATTTTTTTTTTCAGTTTGACCGTTTTTATGTGAATAATTTTGCATTTAAATGTACTTAAATTAGCGTGGATTACTGGTTTGTATACTTTCGGCCGTCTATGGTATTTAAATATTGTTTATGTTGAATCATAAAATTTAATTATTTATTGGGATTATAAAAATGGCACTGACACGACAGCAATTTTACCAAATGGTGTAGCAATTTCTTAAAAATCCTGTTTTATTTTTTTTAATGTACAAGCGCTAGGAACGAAAATAACAGTAAATATCAATTTTAACAATTTCTTTTATTAGTTGTTGGCAACTCTGAGGCAAATTAAATTTTATTGACTAATGTTATGATTAAATTTTCCTATTACCTACCTACTATTTTAATTTGATATCTATATTTGGTGATTTTACTTACTACCAAGTACTTACAGCTATTGGTCAATAGGTAAATAATAAAACAGGTCAATGTTAGATCTTGAGTGCAATTATTTGTTGGAATTGCATATTTCTTCTATTCAAGGGTAAGAATAAGATAAAATATTTATATAAATATAAATATTTACACCCGCAGACACACTGTATATAATTAAGCTTAATAAAAATACAACATAAATATCTGATCTTTTCATATTATCTGAGCCACCCAATAAACATTTTTGTTTTTATAGTGATTTCCATAAATGTTATATCATCCAAATTATAAAACCTAAATGTCTTAATTTGGTTCAGTGAATTAAATATTGTACCACTTTAATTTGAATTATCTTTATTTGGGGGACAGGAGGCTGGGGGCACACTTAAAAAAAATTTTTTTTCGCCTTTTTGCATTTTCAATTTAAATTCTGCTTGCGCAGAACTTGTCTATATAATATATTATATTATAAATATCAAATTTATATGAGTTTATATATAAACTCATATAAATTTGATGTGGGTCCCATGTCTAATAACTGAGATCCACCAGCCGCCACTGCAAAAACATAAAATATTTGTATAGGTACTTTTAAAAAAAAATTTGAAAATATTTTTTTTTAACTAGGTAAGTACCTAGTACTAGTACTATAGTACTATCTTTATTTTTCTTACATTAAAGTAGTAAATTTTTTACCTTGGTTTGGTCAATTAAGTTGTTTTTGTAATATAATTCGATTAACATTTATTTTATGTAGCCCTCTTATTCCTCATGGTAATTTTATATTACCTAAGGTACTAGTTCAGTTTTATAGGACTATCTAAGTTACTTAAAGTGTTTTTATATAAATTTGAAAGTCTTATATACATTGTAGTAACTGTCGTTGCTACAAGTGATGTTATAAAACTTTTGATTACTAAACATCTTTGGTTTATTAAACACATACATAATAAATTACTCACAATTTTTATTTAAAAAAATTAAAGATAATAGTTTTATAAAACAGGTAACCGCAAACTCCTTTATAAACCTACTGGTAACGGTTACTAAAGGTTATATAAAATGTTTGTAGAAACAATTATATAACCCAATTATATAACTAGAGTTTACAGTAACCTTATATGACTATTATAAAACTAATAAACTAAATGGCGATTTTATAAAACCTTGTAAAACTCTTATATAATTTGACAACTCTTATATAACCTTTATATAATTTATCGTTACCATAAGTAGTACAAATTGTTTATTGGGCATGTTAACCTTATATTTCGATTGCCTTTTTTAGTTTTCAAAATATTTCTATAAGCATCAACATTTTTCTAGGAACTCCTCGACATTACCTTGATACAATAGAGTAATTGCATCAAAAATGAAAATCCCTAAAAACCTTTTTAATGTAATCTAGAGGTAAAAAGACATTGCAAAAATATTTTTTTATATTCCAAAAGTTCAACCCGGCCCCAAAATATCAAATTGAAAAAAAGGTACTTTTCAAACGTTCCGAACTCCCGCCATATTGCATGACGTCATAAGCTTCACCAGCTGTCAGAAATCAAGATGTCAACAAATAATAAACACCGATAAAGTTTATGTTTAACATGGAAAACGCGAAACCAAAAATTGGTTGTAAATATTGTTTTGTGCCTTGTTGTACAAATACAACCTGGAAAACTCCTGGGAAAGTTGTCCCTTCAATTATCAAAAGCAAAGTTTATGACCCTACACTGAGAGTAGTTACGGCTCAGCCGTATTTTCTTGAATTTATTAATATTTAACATACCTATTCAAACCATATACCTAGTAAAGGACATTTTATTTTACTTACATTAAAATGATCCTTAAAATGAGCAATAAAATGGTGACGATGTTTTGATATCGCGCCGAGCTATTTTAATCCACTTTATCCTTATTTTCCCTTTTAACACGGTGATAAACCTTTTCCCAGGAGTTTTCCAGGTTGTATTTGTACAAGGCACAAAACAATATTTACAACCAATTTTTGGTTTCGCGTTTTCCATATAAACTTTATCGGTGTTTATTATTTGTTGACATCTTGATTTCTGACAGCTGGTAAAGCTTATGACGTCATGCAATATGGCGGGAGTTCGGAACGTTTGAAAAGTACCTTTTTTTCAATTTGATATTTTGGGGCCGGGTTGAACTTTTGGAATATAAAAAAATATTTTCGCAATGTGTTTTTACCTCTAGATTACAATAAAAAGGTTTTTAGGGATTTTCATTTTTGATGCAATTACTCTATTCAAGGTTTTTATTGAAAAAAAAGCGTGTGGGAAGCTTCACAATAATTTTCAAACAATAAAACAACGCTAGACAAAAATCAATTAAACGCTCACGTGAAATATACAGGGTAACCTTTTGAAGTGCTTTATCGACAGCCTGTATAATTAATAAAAATGTATAATTAATAAAAATGATTTATTTTGAAGTTTGAATTTGTGATACAAACCCAGTAAATGTGTTGGCAACACTGAATACAGCAGCAATGTTTTGACGTTTACCGATCTAACCTCAAAATTCTAGTCATGTCGAAAGTTATTTTATACAATTTTAATCATTTACGTAAGAATTTTAGCACAATAAGTTGCTACGTGCCCAAGCACAATCCAGTGCAAGACAATGACATCGAAATATTACAAGAATTCATACAAAAATCCATGAAAATGGTTATATTAACTGGTGCTGGCATATCCACTGAATCAGGTATATTTTATCATTAAAAATTGGTTTTTGACTATAACGTTTGGCGTAGGTATTCCGGATTATCGTTCTGAAGAGGTGGGTATGTATGCTAGAACTGATAGAAGACCTGTACAGTATCAAGACTTTTTGAAGTCAAGTGAAACTCGTAAGAGGTATTGGGCAAGAAATTTCATAGGTTTCGATAATTTTTCCAAAGTAAAACCAAACTCGGTGCATTATTCCATAAGAAATCTGGAAGTGGAGCACGATAAAGTCACTAAACTTGTCACACAGAACGTTGATAGTCTACATTTCAAAGCCGGTAGCAAACAGGTTGTAGAACTTCACGGGACAGCTTTCAAAGTGGTTTGTTTGTCTTGCGAGGCGGAATACGACCGATTTTACATACAGGAGAGGTTAAAGGAAGTGAATTCTCACCTTTTTGGAACATCTGAGGGTGTACGGCCAGACGGAGATGTAGAGATATCCCAAGTACATATCCTAGAAAATTATCGTCTTTTTATTGATTTTTTGATTTTAGGACACGCAGGATATGTTTGTGCCGCCCTCCTGCGAATCCTGCGGCGGGATTCTGAAACCCGACATAGTTTTTTTCGGTGATAATGTGCCGAAAATCAGAGTTGAAGAAGTTAGAAACTCTGTTACAAAAAGTGACTCTTTATTGATCCTGGGGAGTTCTCTCTCAGTGTTTTCTGGGTACAGGATTGTTTTGCAAGCTGTTGAGGAAGGAAAAAACGTGGCAATTGTTAATATAGGGCCAACAAGGGCCGATAAAGATGTTAAGTTAAAAATAAATGCCAAATGTGGGGATATACTACCAAAGATTTGTTGACGATGTTACATTATTGTGTTAGCTAAATTTTGTGTTTGTATATTTAATTTATTATTGTTTTGAGAGAATAAAAGTGTATTTTTGTAATTTGATCCTAATTTTATTGTTATTTAAAAAGTTTTAAAAATATATATTTTCTATAACAAAAAATCCAATGTTGTTTAACCCTACAGATTATGCAACCCACTGCACACTTATACAGATTAATAAACGTTTTGTTTCTTACATAGGCACTTGTAAGCCTTAAAAGAGACCTTAAAGTGACAAAGGCAACCATTTTACTCCTCTTTTGTAAAAATAATCAAGGCTGTCATCAAACTGTCAATTTTAAGGTTAATTTGTTGGTTATGGTAAATTAACCTTAAAATTTGACAGTTTGATGACAGCCCTGATATAATAGGGTTTATTTTTTACAAATTTGAACCTAATTTAATTGTTATTTAAATGGTTTTAAAAATATTTATTTTTCATGAAAATCTCATCTTATAGGCACAAAAATATAATAAAATTTATATTTTAAAAATTTTTGTAAAAATAAACCTTCTACGCTAAAGAAGTATCGGGTTTTCGCAACGCGCGCGCCATCTGGTGGACTTCAAAAGCATTGCGTGCATTTAAGAATTGTCAACAATACATTTAAAGCATACGAACTGTACATCATTTTTAAATAAATAGGTAGTTTTTTCACAAAAGCGACAAATTTTGTTCAATTGCACAGCTAAATCGCGAACGTTATTTGTGTTTTACGTTGCAAGGAAAAAACTGAAAAACTGGTTTAGTTCTCGATTTCGATTGATTATTCTTTATATCATTGATTAAGAAACTCAACGCTTAAATGCTTATATAGTTACGTTAGTGTGTGTGTTTTATCTAAGGGATCATGGTGAATTATTGTTTTTTATTTGTAAATAAAATTCAAGAACTAAATCGTTGCATTTTCATGTTTTGCCAAAGGATCCAATTCGGTAAGTACATTTGTTTGTGCAGAATTAACTAACATAACCTTAAAATCAACCATTTTTATAATTGAGATCTCTAAAAAACGCCGACAACTGCATTTTAAACAACAAAATATACTTACGAATTCATGGCAACGTAATGTTATAAATAATACATAATTTAATGGTATTTTACCGTTGAGTGGAGACTTTAAAGAATTCTTAATCAACGCTTTTAATAATGCTAAATGCTGTTTAAATTTAGACGACTTATTTGTTTGACGATTATTACTGAATTGAAATGTTTACACTTTTCACGTTAATCATTACTAAAATGTGCATTTATTGTATCTAATAGATACAATTTATATTTGCAGGGACTGTATTAAATTTATTTCTTCATTCGGATTAACACTGTTTATTGAAAAACCGATAAAAACTCGACCCAGGATTTCCTCTCGAAATACACCCAACAACACAACAAATCGTGCCACGGTTTTTTTTCGATATTTTTTAACATTTTCCGGGTTTATTCTCAAAAACACTCGTTTGTAACACCTATCAAGGATGTCATCAAATTGTAATTTTAAGGTTAATTTGTGTTTGTTATGGTAAATTAACCTTTGGTTTTTTTGTAAAACCATCCAAATTTAAAATAAATAAAAAATTGTGTTTTTTTTAATTTTATAAGTTTGTTATTTGCGAGACTAGACTCTTGGATAATCACTAAAATTTTAATAATACTGAAAAAAATTAAAATATAAAATCATAATATATCAGGAATAAAACAAGGAAACATTTTAATATAAAACTTTTAAATTGGCAGTTTTATAGATATTTATTTTAAATAATCTGTACAAAATGGTAAAAGGGAAGGGGTGCACGAAATTATGTATATGCAGATTCAAAATTAAGTACACCTAATGACAAAATACATTTAATTTGATAAAAGTAACGTAGGTACAATTCAATAAACCTAATCTATTGTCGGAACAACAACAAAAAAATTAAACATAATTTGACCTACAAACGTCAAATTGGGGCTTAAAACTAGATAGGTCTTAACACTAGATCCAGTAGGCGACAAAGCAAGTTTTTGGGGTTCCAATTTTTTGTCGCTCACTGTATTTAATCATTACATGAGTATCAGTCGCCAAATATATGAAGTATAGTGTTTTCCATAATTAACTGTTTAGGTCAATTAGTGAAAACCCTACAAAGGATTTTATGACACATTTTTTCAAATAATTTAAAATTTTCGGGGTTTTAAAAAATTATAAAAAACTATATTTTTATTTTGTTTTTCCACAATTTATTGATAACAATAAAAAGCACAATACTGAGTAAGAAATGTTGTCCTATAATTTTTTTAAATTAGTAAAAAAACAAAACGAATATATTCAATGGCAATTCGCTTAAAATATTTTTTCTTTAAAACTGAAACCTTAAAAAATGTGTCATAAAACCCGACAAATATAAGTTTTTCCGCAAAGATCGAATGTTATGTTTGTTTTGATTCCAATTGATGAGGATGAGGATAATAAAATACGCGAGGAAAAAAAGTGGGGTAGGAAACTTTTTTTACAAACTAAATTTAAAAATTGCGCGCGATAACTAAAGGAAGTAGTCGGCTTGCGGTTTTTTGGAGGGGATGCCCCGCGATTCTTGCGGCGCCGCCTCGAATATTGTGAAATCCCTTTGCAGGTGCTCGTTTAGTTCCAAAATGGCGGCCACGTTGCCACATCTGGAAATAAATAACAAGTAATGAATAAGTCGAATGCGGCTGAAGAGGAAAGAGTAAAATAGAGGGTGAATATGCACGATTTTACTTGCCACAGCCTTCGAAGCGCCGCCATACGTGACTAGGTGAACTAATAGTAACATAACCTCACATAAATGCATATACTTCTGTGATATACATTGTATGGGTTTCTTTTTTTTATTATTTTAATAAAATGGTATTCGAAAATTGGAAAACAAATAAGCCGTATCTAATAATTAAAAAAAAAAAACAGGCAAGAATTTGGCAATAACAAAAATATTAATCTTTGAGGCGAAAAAAATTGTGAGAGAAAAAAAAATGGTTTATATCCTTTTTAATCGGATAAATATTGGTTTAAAATATAATTGCGATTTTAGTAAAAAAAATGAAAATTTTAAGATAAAATCGCAATAATCTAAATTATCTGTAAAAAATGGCAAAAAATTTGGAAATTTTATAAAATTTTAAGATTTTCAATTTTTTTTTTAATTCATCAAAATTTCTGTAATTCTTAGTATTTTCTAATTAAAATAAAATAAATTTATCAAAATTTACAAAACCATAAAGTTTTCGTAATTTTGAAAAATTTGGAAATTCTGAACATTTTAAGATTTGTTTTAAAATTCCCATAATTCTTAAAATTTTTGTAATTTTAAAAATTTTGGATATTTAAAAAAATATATGAAACTTAAAAATTACATAATTTTATTGATTTTTAAATTTATCAAAATTTCCATAATTGATTAAATTTTTTTTATCAAAATTTATGTAATTTTTTATAAAGTTTTGTATAAAAATATGGAGATTTTGAAAAATTTGGAAATTCTAAAAAAAATTAGATTTATTTATTAAAATTCCCATAATTTTTTAAATATTTGTAATTTTAGAAATTTCGGATATTAAAAAAAAACTTAAAATTTTCATGATTTTTTAATTTATCAAAATATCCATAATTCCTAAAATATTCGAACTACAACATTCTGATTAAAAAAAAATTATTAATATTAACATCATTTTAAAGTTTTTGAAAAAATATGGATATTTTGAAAAATTTGGAAAATTTATTAATACTCCCATGATTCTTAAAAAAATATATTGTTTGTGAAAAATTAAAAAAAAAGTTTGTTAGTAAATTTAATTATAGCATAAATATATAAAATTTAATTATAGCATAATATTTCAGAGATAATTGCGATTGTCATAAAATGGAAATTTTAAGATAAAATCGCAATTATTTCAATTATCTCTGAAACCACAATATTTATGGGATAAGAAGTTTTTTTGTAGAAAATTAAGTATAGTTACAAAATTTATACTTTTTTAATTTCAATTTTTATTATCTTTTAAATTTGGCAAGCCCAACATGTTGACAAACATTTTTATCTTTTTATTTCACCTTTAAGATTCATATTGTTGCTAAATATTATAAAATTAATTTCGAAAACCCCCTCTAATGGTTACATAAAATATAAAACTTAGAGGTTTTTGGTTTTGAAAGGTTTTTAGTTTTTTTCAAATATATAAATTTCACTTTAATTTAAGAACTTATCACTTACCTATAGCAATAATTCGGCGCCGACCAGACAGTCAACACTGTTTCGTTAAAGTGCCATTTGTAGCCTTCCATCACCAATTGATGCGCCCTGCATATCATATCGATATCGTTTGCAGTATTAAATTGGGCCACCACGTCCGATCCGAACAAATAACCGGCCCCCCTGGGGGATACACCCCAACCCTGAGTATCTGAAAAAAATTCCAAAATTTTGAAATTTTTTAAATACAAATGTTCAAAATTTTTAGATCTATTAAAATTCCCATAATTCTTAAAATATTTGTAAAAATTTCGATATTTTAAAAAAATTTAAAAATCTCAAAATTTACAAAATTTTTATAATTTTTAAATTTATTAAAATTTCCATAATTCCTATAATATTCTTCTTAACCACAACATTCTAATTTAAAAAAATTAAATTTATTAAAATTTTAATAATTTTAAAGTTTTCTAAATTTTTAAAAATCTCTAAATTTAAAAAAAAAATGGAAATTCTGAAATATTTTAAATTTATATTTAAAAATTCTTAAAATTCTCAAAATTGTTGTACTTAATTTAAAAAATTTTCATGATTTTTAAATTTATCAAAATTTCCATAATTCCTAAAATATTCGTAAAAGTTTTCGTAATTTCAAAATTCTGAAAATTTTCGGATGGGTAAGTATTTTAAAATATTTTAAAATGTATTTTAAAATATATTTTAAAATTTCCTAAATATCTTAAGTATTCGTAACTACAACATTCTGATTAAAAAACAAAAAAATGTATGAAAATTTCCATAAATTTCAAGTTTTCGTAATTTTAAAAAATATGGAAATTTTGCAAATTTTTGAAATTATGAAAATTTTCAAAATGTAAATTTCAAAATTTTTAGATTTATTAAAATTCCACATTACTTAAAAATTTAGTAAATTTAAGTTTCTAAAATATTAAAAATATTCAAGATTTTTAAAAATATAAAAATGTATAGAATACAAAATATAAAAAACTATTATTACCTTCAGGGTCACTCCACAGTAAATCACACATTGGGCCGTCATGAGGCACTTCCTGTTTCCTATCAATAACCCTAATTTGATCTAATGTTTGTATAGATGGAGATAACCCACCGTGCACACAAAATATTTTACCATCAATAATAGCAGAAAGGGACAAATAATCAAAAATCTCCGTGCAATATCTCCAAACTGTAATCGAACCATATTTACGCAAACACTCATCATAAAAACCGTAAACCTGTGTAATCTGCCTTGACTCGTGGTTGCCCCTGATTAAGGTTATGCGGTCTGGATATCTAACCTAGAAATGGAAACATCAAACAATTGTCACTCATTTATCAAGTTGGGTTATGTACTTTAAGGGCTAGTAATAACAGGAAAGTCTCAACACTGTAGAAACCCCTGTCAACAAAATCGCCCATGAATAGGTAATTTGTTTCAGGGACATCACCACCAACTTTAAAAAGCTCTTTTAGGTCATAGAATTGACCGTGGATATCACCGCAGACCTAAAATATCATTATTAATCGATTAATTAATTATTAGATTGTTTTTTTGTATATTTACCGTTACAGGTGAGTCCACTCTCTGCACATTGCTTTCTTCCACCAAAATTTCCCTTGCTTTCGCACATAAAGCCTTCACTTCGCTTTCTTTTATTATCTCGCACCTTTTTAGCTGTTCAATTTGTCTGTCTAAGTCACTTGGCTCGCACATTTTAACTTAAAACAACGATTACAAAACAATTTCACAAGATATTTACGTAAATATAAACAATTACCCTATGTCAAAAGTGTAACAAAGGTTATGTCGCGAATTACACCTTCAAAATGCAGTTTTTAGAGGTTTAAAGTGACTTACAGGGATTGTATGTTGTTAAGGATGTTGCATTTAGTGAAATAAGGCGGTAAAAAATGCGGAATACTCACTTTTTAAACAAAATTCCCTGCAAAAACCTTTACAAGCCACCTATAAGCTAAGAAGAAAGAAGCGACGTACGTTCATGCTACAGCGTTGCCAGGCTAGTGCACGGTCAGCCAGTAGAAAAAAACAATGAATTTATACAAAAAACATCAACAAACTGATTTCGCTTGAACTAAAAATGACAGAAAAACTCACCCAATAAGCTTTAAAATAAAAAATACAGGCCCAACACTGTTTATCTTCCGCAAAACCAATAAAACCGACAACAATGGTACGCTCTGACAAGCGATCATAGACTTAAGAAACGTTTAAAAATGTATTAAGAAACAACAAACAACTTTTAATTTCCACTAAGAAAACTATTATTAAAACAATATAACTTAAAATGTTATTATGTATTAAAATAAGGCTTCTATTTCTTAGATAATTTTATGAAAATTCTACACTTTAAATGTCAATGAAAACCGACGCCAATCGCAAACGTCAAATTATCATTTTATTGGCATTAATTTAACGATTAAAATCCTCGTAGCGATTAGATAGGGCGCTATAATAAACAAAACATTCAAACAATTCAAACACGTGCAGTAATCTCAATAAAATAAACTTTATATTTAAAACTTCGTTGCGTTGTAGTCCGCGCAAGCGCAAACGTCATTCGCAAAGCACTCGTGCAAAAATCGGTCGCTCTGATAAAAAATTAATGTTTACGTGGTTTTGATCGAAAATTTCGCGTGTTTTTGTGTTTTTAAGTGCTGAAGAGGTGTTTGGATTAAAATGGGCAACATACACACCGTAGGACCTAACGAGGCCTTAATTGTTTCAGGTTAGAATCAATTTGTTGTTATTCTATGTTGTTATCATTTGCGGTTTGAATGCAATGATTGCAATGTTAATTTTGGTTCATGGTTAATTTAATTCAAAGATTTTTGCGGTTTTTAAAGTAATAAATAGTAAAATAAGGTTTTGTCGGATATTTATTTGCAATATTGTTGATTGTTTTTAATAATTTTCTTGGGCATCTGTCAAAATAAAACAAAACAAACAAAACCGGCTAGCCTAGATTTATTTATTATTGTTTATTCAAGGTTACTGTAGTGTTTTGAGGTTATGTTAAGATTTGTTTACCATAAATAATGCAAATATGTTAATTAAACAGTGATTATGTACTATTTTTACAATGTTTATTTTATATTACATTACTATTTGTACAGTAAAATTCGTACTATTTACTTTCTTGTGCGATAAAAAGGGTTGTTTGACGTCATCTCTGACGTCATTGTTAGGTTTATTCAACCTCTGACCGTTTATTCATTAAATAGGTCAACAAAGATAATATTATAGTATTATCTTTGGGTCAACTCTTCTATTCGTTTAATTGATGGGAATTCATTTTTTGATGTTTCATGATGACATCATTCTAGTGTTTTGTCACTACGTATTATATTTTTTATTTGTTTGTTTTTGTTACACTTTTTAATGCATAGAAATAGGTAAAAACACTGTTCACAAATTTAAATTGTGAAGAAATAAATAAATGTCAAAAGTTATTCTATTTTCTGTTTTCATCCCTATTTATTTGTATTTTACCCTTGCGGCAATCCAATAGGGGTGTTTTTGCCTTTTAAATTTTCGTGGTTTGGCCTCTTGCCTGTTTCACGCAGGGTGAATGGACTTTACTTAAAGATCCTTTGGATTTTGTCCGGGAATATTATTTATTTGTATTTTATTATTTAAGTGTAAATATGTCTACAGACAGTTTTTTGTTCATGTCTTTGTATATTGATTTTTTTAACAAAGGAATTTTCTCTTTACCACTTAGACACGTTTTAGTCAAGATGGTTTAAATTCCCAAATTCATAAATATACTGGGTGTTTTTTGTCAGGGTTAGAAAATATAATGATAGTAATCTAGTGGGCGAAAAAATCACACATTGTATGAAAATGTAAATAAATTTGTGTGTTTTGTAATTTTTATCCAGTTTTGTTGAAATTATTTGAGAAAATGCCATTATAATAAAATTTGTAATTACGGCATTTTTACTATTATTAATAATATTTTATTAAAAACGATTTGAAGTAGAATGCACTATTGGAATCTAGTAGCATCTGTAATTATATTTTTGTATCAGTCAGATTGGCCGAGCGGTCTAAGGCGCCAGATTTAAGCTCTGGTTCTCGAAAGGGAGCGTGGGTTCGAACCCCACATCTGACAAACTTTTTTTTTATTTAAAAATTCTTTTTTTAATGTCAAAATACTTTTTTTAATTTCTAAATGCTTTTTTTAATTTTAAATTACTTTTTTTAGCCACAAATTTAATTAAATTAAAAAGATTTTATTTCTTAGCTTAAAATCAAGTAGGAACATATTTTATTCTTGCCTGTTAAATGTTAAGAAAGACTTTAAATGAAATAATCTTATTCTTAATTTAAGATTAACAATTTTGTAAAATTTTGAAAATTCTCTATATTCTGTTCTTAAAGATAAAACTATACTGGATATAAATATATATTTATCTCCACGCGGTCTATAATTTAAACTTTATTGTTGTCAACATTCGATAAAAAAAATAGGTACCTTGTTATGGCCTAGGCCGATAAAAAATTTTATGAGGCAAGTAATTAGTTTGATTTTTTCTCGCTGTTTTGACAAATTAATCCTTTTCTAAGAAATTAACGTACTAAACTGGTTTAATTTATTTATAATAAGCACTAATTTGTTTGTTTTACTGTTAATGTTTAATATTTTTCATTAAATTATTGTAAAATTAAATATGAATAATAAAACAAAAAGTGAGGTTAGGCAACCAAGAAAACGCACGATTCTTTTTCTACGATTTAAATTATCTTTAAGTTTTCAGTAAAATTAAATGTTAAACACAGCTTAAACATTCCAAACTACCTATTTTTTAAACAAATATCCAAACAAATTAAAATTTAGATACCTACCTATTTATTAAACAATTAATTGAATTCAATGTAATAGCAAAAATCCATTTCTACTTAAATCATGTAGCTAGGTATTGTCAAACTATAACTGCTTCTAAAAGCAATAATAATGATTGTACAATTAATGTAATCTTTAGCTAATAAATAAATGAGATTCTAAAAAAGTTAGGTTAGGCCGCTTTGATGTTGAATTAAATTGACCTATATAAAGTGCTTTGAAGATAAAATGTTGTATGCCATTCGGCCTAGAAGTGTCTTTTTGTGCTTCGCTAATTGTAGGCCTCCGCTACGCGTTCAAACCTTGAGCTTAGCACAAAAAGCCTAATGACATAAATAGCCAAATTTAAATAAAAACTTATTTATTTTCTACATAATAAATTACAGTGCTATGGGTAAAGTTATTTCCATTCTTCCTTGATGATATCTGAAGCCTTTTCGCCAATCAAAACTTCAGCGGCAAAGTAGTTCCCTGTAATAGTGACAGGAATAACACTCGCATCGGCCACTCTGAGCTTGTGCACCCCGTAGACTTTCAAGTGGTTGTCTACTACCGCTGTTTTGTCGCTTTTCGGGCCCATCTTCGCAGTACCACTGACTTGTCGGAGATTGTACGAAAGATGCTTGATCTGGCAGATCCAGAAGTCCTTGGTGTCGAATAGGTGCTTGTCGCAGCCTGGAGCTGCGTGGGTGTTGATGTGGATGCCCAGGTTTTGCATCGACTTGGTTTGAGCCAACTTAAAGGCTATCTTGATGCCGGCTAGTAAGGTTTCTAGATCGTTTTCGTCTTCATCGGAAAGAAGGTTGAGGTCTATCAAAGGTTTGTGCAGCGGGTCTTTGTCCAATAGCTTCATGTGACCTCTGGATTTAGGGTTCGTCAGGCGTAAGATGATGCTGAAGCCTTTTAATCCCTCCAAGTGCTTCCACATGCGGTTGTAGACCTCGTGGTCGATGTTGAGGTACCTCAAATGCTCGTGGCCGTGGTTAAAAATGTCTGAGGTGAACAGTAGCTGTAGATCTGGGTAGTCCGAGTGGTCTTTGGACGCTTCAGTCTTAAGGAAAGCTATTACCTCGTTGGGTACGCTTGTCAGAGGCCCGTGTCCACTCTTGAGGTAATCTATAACCTCCCCTTCGTTTCCGAAGATTTTTTTCAATTGTTGCTCGACGTGAGAGTCGTTGTAAATGAAGTTGAGACCGTTGAAGCCCATGTGGTCCTTCAAATGCAGACCCACTGGCAGGTCTGACACTACGTCTATGTGCAATTGCTCTAAGTCTTCCTTAGGGCCAACACCTGATAATAACAGCAGTTGGGCTGAATTTATGGCGCCCGCGGCTAAAATAACCTCCTTCTTGGCTTTGGACGTAAACAACTTCCCTTCGTGAATGTATCTGACACCTGTAGCCTCCTTGGTGTGCGTACTGATGATGAGTTTCGTTACCTGACAACCCGGTCTCACAACCAAGTTGGGTCTCGTCACAGCGGGCTCTAAGTACGCCTCAGCAGTGCTAAATCTCTTACCGTTCTTAGTTGTAACCTGCGCAACGCCGAAACCCAGTTGGTGTTTACCGTTGTAATCCACAGTGTTCAACCCCAACTCCTCGGCTGCCCCCAAAATGTGCTCCTTGATTTTCGGCGTTACATACCTAGGGTTTTCTAGATGAACGTTTCCACCGTATCTGTGGTATTTTCTGTCAAAATGCTTCAAGTAGGCGTCCTCTATTTTTTTGTAGCGATCTTCGACGTCGGCCCAACACCAGCCCAGGTTTTCTTCATCGGCCCATAGATCGTAATCCTTCGGGTGACCTCGGATGTATAACATGTCGTTTACGGCTGAACTTCCTCCCAAGGCCCTTCCTGATTCGATGGTACATTGGTGGTCCGTCATACCTATAAATATTACACTTTTAGTTATGGGTTTATATAAACAAAGATTAGTTTGACGGTACCAAACCAGATAAATTGGTTAAATTAACCCAGAAAACTTTAGTGAAACCAACCCGCTGTATGGTTCAGCTTACTAAACATGTTCTTTGTAAAATAAGAGTTACTTCAACCTTAAGCACCCTGTTAAAACGATTAAAACAATTTGCCGTGCATTCCTGGTTGCATAGTGTGTACCGATCGCGGTAAAGGCGGTGTGGATCACGCGACGTTCTTAAATCTCGCCTCTGTTGACTTACATGGAGAGTATATAAGCTCAGGTAGTCCTTTTGCTTTGGTGTGACACTACAAGTTGTTTAATACCAAATAGGTGGTCAATACTTGAAGTATTTTAAGTTGGTGAAAGGCTTTAAAAACTAGCGAGTTGAAGGTTCAATTTTCTGGAATAATACCACTGGTATTATACTAGTAATGCGTCAAGGAACTTTCTGTTTCTTGAAGAATATAAAAAAATTGAATAAATGGTTTACCTTCTGTTTAAAGAGATACCATTTGGTTTCAACAAGACTTACCTAGACAGGCTTGTTTTTGAGGTACGGTCTTGTGGTTCCACACGTATGGGGTCGTTTGAAGGTAGTTCCTCATCATCGGTACTTTGGTGAACTCGGTCTCTGGTTCACCGGCTTCAAGAACCAATACCTTCCACTCTGGGATCTCTGATAGCCTATTAGCCAGCACGGAACCAGAGCTTCCGCCGCCCACTATGATAAAGTCGAACTCTTCGGCTTCTGAAAGAGAACATGTTTTTGTTTATAAATTTGTGGAAAAAAAGTGCCAACACAGCAAACGGAAAATTATAGAGGTGTATAGGATGACGCCACGTTTGAATATGGTTTTCTAAATCTCCCTACGGTATAGAGTTGTATTCGTCAGTCGAGCGTTTCAATACTCTCCACAGTATAGAGGTCGTAATTTCACTTTTGAACTAGTATTAATATAAAAATTATTTTATGCTTAAAAAAAACTATATACGACATGATTGTGATTTTTTTCATTTTATTAATTAATTAAGCTCTGTTGAATATTTTTCCCAAAGGAATAATTGCCAATGGGCCATTAATTCATTTGTTCGTAGATGCTACAATAACTTTCATCAACCAGATTTAAATATTACAAAACTAACATATACCAGTGGAGATAGTGCAGGGTCTACCAACAGACCTAATTACTAAATTATTAAAGTTTAATAGCATATCGATCATTTTTTCAACATAACCTCTGAAATTTTTCATACAAATATAGGTACTTTATATAATACATAAGTATACTTAACATCATATCATCTGTGCTTTACATACCTGAGTTGTTACGGTAAATAAAAATCAGACAAAGGAACCAAAGAAAGGAACTATTTTCAACAAAATCATATGCAGAAAGGAGAAAATTCAAACTACTTGCATCCATCAAAAGATCAAAACTTCTTGCAATATTACACCCTCTTTTTATACTCTCAGAAATATTGACTAGAACAGTATTAGAGAGACTCCAGTTTCTATAACTTGGTAAAGTAAAGAGAAGTCGAAACCGTTGCGATATTGCATTGCGCTGTTTTTGTATAATTCTCGGGGACATTAACGAAAATCATTGCCAGTAAAATTCGAAAAGCTTGAGTTTCTATGTCTCTGAAGAGAATATGAATCCGAAGTTGCTACACCATTGGACTGAACCCTTTTTTAATAATTTCTAGAGACATAAATGACTGCACCATTCGACAGGGTCGAGTTTCTACCTCTCTGTTGAATATAGAAAATCAAAATAATGTATCTTGTAAGACACCATTGAGTTTGACTTTAAATATAGTCGTGCATAGGTATAGAGCCGAAAAATATAAAAACAAAGCACGATTCAATACAGTTATGATAAAACTTTAAGATTTGATATTCGAACGCGGAGTCATCCTATACACTTCTATAATTTTCCGTTTGCTGTGAAGGATGTAAATTTACCGTATGCAGCTTGAGTTTCGTTGTACTTCTCATGGTCGTAGTGTTGCTCGTGAGGCTTATACGAGTGCGACATCTCGTGCAATTCCTTCAAACCATTCTGAAAATCTTCGATGTATTTTTCCATCAGCAGGAACGGAGTGGCCTGTGCACCAATCAGACACGCCAAAAACAGCAAAAGTCCCGCCACCATGATTTTCACTTGGAGAAGATTTTGACGAAGACTGTGTTAAAATTGTTTTCGTGATTGGTTTTATACGGTCGATCTCGGTTGGCTGCGGGTTTTCCACGCAGATTTATGCGGGGCTGCAAGTTGATTCAACTGTTGGGAACAATAATATATTAATGTCGGTTTAAGTCAGTTAAACGTTAGACATTGTGTGGGATATTTTTAGGGTCTATAGCGGGGATGTTGCGAATATTCGCATCCGCATCCGCAAATGCGGAGCTTCCGCATAGATTTGGATATCTGCATCCGCATCTGCATCTGCAATAATCAATGAGGATGTTCATGCGGATGCGAATGTTATACAAGGCCGTTCGCAGTGCGCATGACCAATGGGAGCATTTGTTGTGGATTACTTATTACTTATACTACAGGGATGTTGCGAATATTCGCATCCGCATCCGCAAATACAATATAATAGATTTGGACATCTGCATCCGCATCCGTGGATGTGAGCCTTCAAAAATCCGCATCCGCATTCACATCCGCGGATATGAAAAAATCGGCATCCGCAACATCCCTGGTCTATAGTATAGTATTATTTATGGGGAGTTTTTTCCCAGCGCTTTTCCGATGGTCCAGGGGACTGTAACGTCGTAACGAAATTGAAGATGCTTACGTTAAGTATTAGAACATCGGAAAATAAAGAAGCTATTTTCAATGCCTTTTGATGCAAATAGTAGGAAAAGCATAAGGGAAGTTGCACTAACCTTAAAAAAACTGTGATTGGGTGTAACTATTAATTTTTTCTAAATTATTTCTGCGCGTTAAAGGTGGAATATCGTTTGTTCCTTTTTTAACCGCGAAGAGACAGCATCGTCTTTTTATGAAACTGGTCCTGAGCTGTTGGAGCCTAACGGCCAAGTTCAAGAACTTTCCTCCTTCACCTCGACATTCGTTTGTTTTTGTTTACCTACATGTGCATAATTTACACACGGACTAAATCTATAGACGCACGCCTATCTCTTCGGGTTTTAACGTTTAATCATCGTAATGGGGTATACCTATGTATATAAATTGTAAAACCAATTAATTATATCGCTTTTACTTGTTAATGTTTCAAGTTCTATATTTAGATTTAAAAAAAAATGAGTTTTCCCATTACCTACTGGTTTTGTATATGGTCCTACTTGGGTTTTTTTAAGATTTCAAGAAGTAAAATAAGTCTAATAATTTACGAATAATGATATTTTATGTTTTTTCGTAAACCTAGCCATTCAAAAGATATCCTAGAAAAAAATTTAAAAAGTTAAAAAAAAAACATTTTTTTAAAATTTTATATCGCTTAAATTTATCAAAAAAACAAAAGAAATTTTTTTTGTATAACAGTTTGCAACGAAAACAGGTATCGACATCGAACAAAAACCACTGTCAAGGATATTAAGTATACTACTTTTTGACGTCAAATTGATAGGTGCCAAGGGGCAAATTTTCAAATGGCTTTTGATACCTCATTTGAAAGGTATTTCGATTATCTATTTAACGCATATCTAAAATCTAAAATCTGTTCAATGGTTGCCAAAATATTGAACGTTTGAATAAAATCAATTTTTTTTTCATTTATTATGTACAAGGTTTTCATTTATTAAGTACGATAAAGTTCTACAATTTTTCTGAAAATAATTTAAAACGAGTTAAATCATATTTAACAAATAGATATCAAGTTTGCAAAACTGGGAATAAATTGAGTCAAAGGGAAACTGTTAATGTGGAGGTACCGCAAGGCTCTGTTCTTGGACCCATCCTATTTTTAATATATATAAATTATCTGTCTAATATTAATTAATCATTTGATTTTAATCAATGATTTAAATCAGTTTTAAAGAAAGTTTCTTAAAGATGTAGGTATAACATTATAGTCAAGTTATTTTTAGTATTTTTTTTATTAAAAAAAGCTTATAATTTTGAATATCGTTATAAAAATAAAAAAAATCAAAATAATCATTTTTTGTTGATTTTGTTGATTTCATGACAAAAAATGTAAAAATATGGGTTTTAAATTTACTTTTTAATTTTGTTCCTATTTTATTATATTCTTTGTTTAATTTGTATTTACATTTATTGTACTATTTTTATATTTGTATTTTCCTGACGTAAACCTTTTGGTAATGGCACCAATAAATATTATTATTATTATTGTTGTAATAAAGTAGCTGAAGATTTTTGGTTAATTTGTTTCTAATAAAGATTTTCTTATTTTCAGGTATGTTTTAAGCAGCCCTTTAAAATAGAAAAAAGGTGTCAGTTCATAGATAAATTACACAAGGTTTGTAAGAAACATTTTTATAGAACACAATATTTTAATATTTTTTGTTTAAAAGATAAAAGTAATATTTTTGTAGTCCCAAATTAAAATTATCCAATGATCCTTAAAAAACTATTTTGTAACCAATATTTTTATTTGAAATGTACCCAGACATATTTATAAAAAAGAATGACTGCGCCAAACTGGTTTTTTTAAAACCCTGTAAGTTGTATCAGCCACAATGATTATTAAAATGCTTGGGATATTTTTTATCCGATTTTTTTTTATTCAAAACAGGTTTGAAGTTTTAGCTAAGTAGTTAAATAGATTTCTTCGTATTTTAAACTATTTATATTTAATCATACAATACATACCTACGACTGACAAGGTGGGGTAATCCATTTACAGCAGAACTCATGGTACAAGCACAACTCATACAAAGTTACTTAAGAAACTAAATCAATAAAATTAACATTGAAATCTTTATTTATTTATAATTTATGCATTATAATAACCTTTTCTATCAAAGGGAGCAAGAAAAGTTATTAAATTGTTTCATTGTAAATTAATTAATGTATGCTTTATGCACATGATTTAACATTGATATGACTAAGCTAAAAAATTAGCATCAGTGGCGTATCAAATATAAACTCTTAAAATATTTCAAGTATGATAAAGTTTTTTTGTCATATGTACTAAAAACAAAGATACTCGTTAATGTATAAAATAATACGCTGGCTGCCCTGATAGCAAAATTTGATTTTAAGAATCTTCTAAGAAGATATGACCCGGAATAATGGAATATTCTTAGAACCTTCCCTTATTGCTAAGAATGTTCTTAGGGAATTTTAAAACATTTAATAGATACCCTTTTAATGATGCAATTAGATTCTTAAAAGCTTCTCAAAACCTTCCTAAAAAGCATCCTAAGAACATTTTAAGAATACGTTTTTTGAATGTTCTTAGAAGGTTTCTTATGGAGCTTCTAGGAAGCTTTTGAGAATATTTCCAAATATGTCAGATACTCACGTTCTAATATGTTGTATTCTACATTCGTAAAATTCTTCAGGAAACGACAAATACGCCTCACTGTCACAATATGACAGTGAAATGTATTTGTCGTCCGACATATTAATATATATTTATTTAAAAATATTAAATAAATAATTTGACCTCTAAACCATAAGTTGTATGACATTATTTCATAAAAAGTAAAATTGGAGTTTTGTGGGATAAGTCAGATTAGATGGAAGTTGAAGATAGTTAGGATTATTATACATAAAAATTTTAATTCAGAAATAAAAATCGGTATACAAATTAATAAATATTTATTTTTAACATAAAATAAAATACCTGTAGTAAAAATATTTTTGTTATCAAATATTGTTTTAATTTGATAAATAACTATAAAAAAATATTTTGGATTGTGTTTTTTACTTAATATTTACTAATTACTAATTAGGTACTTAAGTATAGGTATATACAGGGTTTACCAACAGCGACTTCTTTTTTGGTTTCAAAATAAAACAAACAATTTGAATGAAAATGCTGTGAATCTTTATTGATATATAAAGTGGAAGGTTTGCCATTTATAAATGAAAAATAATATCATTCAAATGCCCACCCCCAGTACGCCTACATACATCGATTCTTTTGTTAAAATTTGTAATCACATTTTGGCATAACTGAGGCTCTATCTCACGAATGGCACGTTCAATGTTGGCTTTTAACGCCTCAATGGTTAGCGGATTATCCGCATAGACTTGATCTTTCACATAGCCCCACAAGAAATAGTCCAGTGGTGTTAAATCACAGGATCTAGGCGGCCAATTTAATGCAAAGTTACGCGAAATTACTCGATCTGGAAATTTGGTTTGCAATAAATCCGTTGTTTGACGAACGTAATGGTCGGCCGGCTTCAATTCTTGAACCAACTGTACCTTATAAGGTTTTAGAAATAAATCCTTACGCAAAATTCGCCATTTGGTCATCGTCGATAAGCCCAATTGTTGAGAAGGCCGCGGAATGGATAGATTTGGATCTTCTTCAACACTTTCACTCACAGCAGCGATATTTTCAGCTGAACGACCCGGACGAACATGAATTGGAGTTGGTATGTTGTTGGTTAAACCAGTAGATTTAAATTTATCCACCAAATTCCTAATAGCGTTCTCAGATGGCCGACCATGACGGCCAAACATATCACGAATTTTACGATATGTGGTTTTCACCCAACGACCATTCTCGTTATAGGTTTCGATGATTTTAATACGATTTTCGATTGAAATTAAAGGCATTTTTACAAATGGCAAAGCTTTTACTGACATATATCAAAAAAGTAATTGTCAAAGCCGTCATCTTATCAAAATTTGCCCCTATTGAAAAAAGAAGTCGCCGATGGTAAACCCTGTACCTTTATACGTAGTTTATGGTATATTTTACTATTATATAGGTAACTGAACTAAATATGCTTAGCAGGAATATTCCTAAATGAACTTTCTATAGCAATTACTTTCCTAACATTCTAAGCATATGTTTAGAGTAGAATAATTTTTACCACTAAAACTTTGCACCTTCTAAGAACCTGCCTATAGGCCAGTAAGAATATTCTTAGGATCATGCTATATGTCTTTTAAGCATGTTCTTTAGAAATATAGCATGATCCTAAGAATATTCTCACTGGAAGGTTTAAAAAACATTCTTAGAATAAAGTGTGCTATCAGGGTGTACTTGTTGTTCCGGAAATCACATAGTTGTTACAAGAATAAGATGAATATAAGTACGCCCCTGTACTAATTGCGTATTTATTTTTATAAGAACTACATGCCCTTGTTACTTTTTTTTACCATTAGAATTTGTTACTAAGGTTATTCATGTTTATTAGATTAATACTGAATTTGCCTAGTCAAATAAATCATTTATTGTTTCTATGACACTAAGTGACCTTTTTAGTACACATTGACAAGTTGTGGCTTCATGACGCTTTAGTCACGGGCTAAAGTTAGCAACAGGTTTTTAGTCACTTTGGATTTTTTAACGATGTACTTTTTTTTATAAAATTCGAATCTACTTAAAAAAAGTACGTATGTGAGCCAAAAAAAAATTGATTTGCTCTTTTGGTTACGGATTTATGATTTATTATGTTAAAATACTAAAAAATAATTTCAATGTTTTTATCAAGTCTGTTAAACTGCACTTGATAAAACCCCAAAGGAAATAATCCAGAGGGGTCAAATCAGGCGACCTAGCAGACCAATTGACCGGACCAGCTCGACCATCCACCTGTTTTGAAAAATTTCATTCAAATAGGTTCGGGCCTCAATAGCATAATGGGGTGGAGCCCTATCCTGCTGAAACCACATTAAGTGACCATGTGTGTTGATTTGGCCCAAGTGGGGATTTTCCGCTGCCTAGTAGTGCATATTGCGTCTCTTTACCTTTAAGAAAAAAAAAGAAATTAAATTTCTACTGATAAGGGATAATTAATTGACTGCTCGCTTCTAGTCTTTGAAATGCCATACGAGATTTACGATCATATCAGGAAACCTCTCTGCCCTCACTTGCACATTAAAATTGCACATTTATTTTCGCATAGATGTCGCTTCATACAAATATTTAATTTAAATAATTTTTCAGATAATTTAAATAAAACTCCAGTTATAATTCAAAATATTTTTATTGGATTTTATACTTATTGCTATAATTATGTTCATAGAACAAATATGGCTTAACATTCCTATACTGGATCTATTAAATAATTAAATTATTTAATTTAATTTTTTTTACCTGAGAGTCAGTCGGGCCTCTTTATAAGGAAACATGTTCTGCAAAATAAGAAGAATACATTCTTTATAAAAATGCATTCTAAGAAGATATTTTTTTAAGAGAATGATGCTTTCCCAATCTACAAAAAATATAGGTATCTAGACTTCACAGAAAATGTTTTTTTTAAATTAAAGTAATCATATTTCATGCCAAAAATCCCTATGGAGAATGCCTTCTGATATCTTTGGACCTTATATTCCCTTTAGCTTTGATCCAGTCTTCCTTGATCAAATCCGAAGCCTTCTCTCCAATCATGACGCTAGGGGCGTTTGTGTGCGCAGTTGGCGGCATTGGAATGACGCTGGAATCGACCACCCTGAGCCGTTTTACGCCGTAGACCCTTAGCTTGCTGTCGACGACTGCCTCAGGGTCGTGCGACGGACCCATCTTGCAAGTGGCGACTTGATGGTGAAGGGTCGCAGAGATGTGCCTCAGGGAACACTCCCAGTACTCGTCCGAGTTAAAGGTGTGGTGTTGGCATCCCGGGATTTTTGTCGTTACCAGTGTCGAACCGTATCTATGGAAATATAAGATTAAAGCATTTTGAATTTAGTGCTTTTTCAATAGGCTAAATGATAATCGAAATTTTTGAACAAGTCTACAAAAGACCACCTAAGAACATTCAACTTGGGCATTTTGCAAGCAGAGTCAATCCAAATGAAAACACCAAAAATGAATTTAAAAGTGCGCTGCATGATTTTTTATTTTAATGAAAAAATTTGAGGATGATCTTTTAGGTATCATATATGAAAAACCGTTGCCGTTTTAATTTTTAGTTGCTTTATTTTTAATCGGCACCCTTTAGAAACCTGAAATCATTTTCTTACTCTCTTATAAGAGGCTAAAACTTTTTTCTGTGGCAATTATTGAAATGATTGTAATTTTATTTTACTGCCTAGTAAGTATGTTTTCAATATTAATTATTATTATCTAATTAGTTCATCTCATAAAAGAATGGTAAACCACTAAAGATTTGTAATAATTTGCCAATTTTTGTGATTTTTGTCTGGATCCTGTGCCTATTCTGCTAAATCTAGAAAGTTACTACCAAATATATCAGAACTCTAAAAAATATTTTATAATTATTATTTTATATAAAATAATATGACATATTATGTTACATACAAAATTTAGCACAAATAATATTTATGAAATATTTTTGACAGTTCTGACACTTCTTCACCAAACATGAAAATTTTAAATTATAAATAAATTATAAATAAAACTAACAATATCCCTACTAAAAAATTAATATATCTTTTAAAGGAATAAAAATATTAAAACAAGACTAACTGGACTGAAAGGATGAAGGTGGGGACTACATTTCCTGAAAGTTTCAGATTTTTATTTTTTCGTCAACATAATGATTTCTGAGGGCAAAATTGACTAGTTTTAAGAATTATCAAGTTTCAATATTTTTTTTAATAAAGAAAATGATAGTCTAGAAACTTAAAATAATAGTTACGTTTTCTATTGTATAAGTACTTGAAACCTGAAAAAAAAATTTAGTAGAATAGGCACAGGAGCCAGACAAAAATTGGCAAATTATTATGAATCTTTAGTGGTTTACCATTCTTTTATGAGATTAACTAATTGGATAATAATAATTTATATCGAAAACACACTTACTGAACAGTAAAACAAAATTAAAATCATTTCAATATTTGTCACAGAAAAAAGTTCTGGCCCACTATAAGAGAGTAAGAAATTGACACGATTTCAGATTTCTAAAGGGTTCCGATTAAAAGTAAAGAATCCAAAAATTAAAACGGCAACTGATTTTCATATTTGATACCTAAAAGATCATCCTCAATTTTTTTTATCAAAATAAAAAATCAAGCAGCGCACCCCATTTGGTGTTTTTATTTGGAATGACTCAGCAATAAAAATAATAATTATTGAAAAAAGTTTCCTTTGTTGTAAAAAGTTTAACTGGTTTAAAATTATTGAACCGTACAGTGAATGTAAAAACTTAAAAAAGGTAAAAGTGCAATAACAATTATATTTTCTGCCCAAGGTTTGCATCTTGGTGCATCCTAATACAGGGTGTTTCACGGTCATCAGAAATAATATATTGCAATAATAATAATAATTATTTTTCTTAGAAAATATTTGTTGTATAATTTAAAAAATATTCTTCTTAAAACTTACTTCTGCATCGAAGGGCTGTCCGATATCCTTTGAACTTCTCTAATAGCAGCAATGAAGGTTTTAATGTCGAGATTTTCCGGATCGGTAAAGTAGTTTCCGTAAAATTTCGGCCAATGGTATGGGTTCTTCGATTTTAACTTCAAATAGCCCACGGATCTCGGATGAACCAACATAGGAATACCCTGTGTAAAGAAAATCAATAACATCAAGAATTATACGCTAAAGAACAACTTACCATCCAGGTGAACCCATTTTCCAACGGCCCAAACACAGCATTGTAAATTTCATCGGAAACTTTAAAAGTTTTCCTGTAAAAATCTCCGTTATCGGTGCTCAAACTGCCACCTACGAAAATTATTTCAACATCAGGAAAACTTGGATCCGGGTCTCTAGATACATTCGTTTTTATGTAGGCTAAAGCTTCCACCCCTCCCAAACTTGTTAGAGGTCCTCTTCCTTTAAACAGAAGCTCCACAAAGGCAGAGGGTTGAGTTACAGCTTTTTGAAGATTAACAATACTTTGGTTTACCGTGAAAACTTGCCCAAAAAATGTCAGATGGTCGTAAAGTTTTTGGCCCACTGGCAGATCTTTCACCAATGGAATGTCTAAAAATAAAAAAATATGTAGAAATAATATAATTATATAATTCTGAATTTAGCACCGTCCTGTTAAAAGCTGTTGTTATTTTGGATGAGGTTGCAATGAGTTATTTATTAAATGGTAAAGAAAAGTTTATTTATAATAAAATGTACAAAAGGTACTTATTTAGGTAGAAGACTGTCTTACTCTAAGTGCAGTGTGCATAAAACCATCTGTGAAAAGTTTTATGACACTTGTTTCACTGCTATCTTATCTAACTGAGGGTTGAGTTTTCTAAAAGTATTATTAATATTGGCCGACAAAAATAAAATTTATGTTTGGTGCATGGCAACCAACAACTTTTTAAGGGTAATTTGGGTACGCTGAATCCAAAAATTAAAATAATTTTGCTCAATCAGCTCTTGTTTTTGCGATGTAGAATAAAAACCATTTTTTTCGATATGCGCACATTCAAATTCTTATATGTATTTTTTTAAACTTCTAACTTAAGCAAGGATAGTTGGTAATGTTGCTATGGGTCTTTATTAAACTAAAAAAAAAAAATACCATATACATTGATAATGGTATTCTCTTTAAAAATCTTGCTTTCATCGAAAGAAAATCGATTTTTTAGCCAAAATTCGGATATTTTTAAAATTCAAAGTATTACAGCATGATAAATTTTTGTCCGATTTAAATAAAATTTACCCTATTTGTAGCTCTATTTATCTACTTTATAGTGTTAAAATTTCAATGCAATCAAAAATTGAATTAGAGTAGTGCTGCCGTGCTAAGCTAAACCCCCGTATCTGCAATATTAAATAAAAGATCATTTTCATTGTTAAAAACAATAAAAACTATCTTTTGTCCTTTATTATTTAATATTGCAGATACGGGGGTTTAGCTTAGCACGGCAGAGTGTATGATAGTAGAGTATTGAGAGCAGCAGCAGATACTCTACTCATACTTTCATACACTAAAACTAATAGAAAAAAAAAACAATAATATTTTTGACATCTTTTTATTAGACATACTTAAAAGCAGGTCTAAAATCCTAGGCACAAAAATTGTCTACTTAAATAGGCTCTGTGAATATTAATAGCTATTCACGGAGTTTATTTAAGTGGTACACGTAGTACCCAATGTTGGTTGATTGTATTGCCATGTTGCCAATTTTTATTTGATTGCATTGAAATTTTATCACTATAAAGTAGATAAATAGAGCTACAAATAGGGTAAATTTTATTTAAATCGGGAAAAAATTGATCATGCTGTATCACTTTAAATTTTAAAAATTTCCGAGTTTTGGCTAAAAAATCGATTTTCTTTCGATGAAAGCAAGATTTTTAAAGAGAACACCATTATCAATGTATATGGTATTTTTTTTAAGTTTAATAGCAACATTACCAGCTATCCTTGCTCAAATTAGAAGTTTAAAAAATATATTTAAGCATTTGAATGTGCGCATATAAAAAAAATGGGTTACATCGCAAAAACAAGAGCTGATTGAGCAAAATTATGGTCATTTTTGGATTCGGCGTACTCAAATTACCCTAAAAAAGTAGTTGTCTACCCTGCACCAAAATGGCTGTCGGCCTGTGTAATCTATCGGATTGTTAACTTACCTAATTCTTGAAGATGTTCCTTAGGCCCTATACCGCTCAACATTAACAATTGCGGTGAATTGAACGCTCCAGCCGATAAAATGACTTCTTTTTTAGCGTACGCGTTAAAATATTGTCTGTTTTTAACGTAGGTGATGCCAAACGCCGAATTTGTTTTGGGATTTATGAGGATCTTGATCGCTCTAGCTTGGGCTAAGATTTTTAGGTTAGGGCGTTCTCTAGCCGGTCGCAAGAAAGCTTTTTCCGTACTGCAACGGTAACCGTCTCTTTGGTCGGCTTGCACATAGGAAACCTACAAAACATTTGATGTGATTTTGTGAAACTAGGGATAAAAACGTACCCCGAGTTGATCTGCACCGTTATAGTCGACATATTTGTGCCCCACTTCCTGCGCCCCTCTGACAAACGCATGCGCAGACTCGCTTCTAAAGGGAACGTCCGAGACAGTCAGATAACCACCTCTACCTCTCAGCTCGCCATCTTGTTTTTCCACCCTTGCGTCTTCGGATTTGATGAAGTACGGCAACACGTCTTCGTAAGACCATCCAGGGTTGCCGCTTGCCGCCCACCGGTCGTAATCGCGTCTGTTTCCTCGAACGTGGATCATGTAGTTTATGATCGAGGAACCCCCCACGGCTCTGCCTCTGGGCCATGCCATCCGTTGCCCGTCCAGACCTGAAACATAAGGATTTTTTAATTGTCAAAAACAGTTTTTTCCTGAGAATGTCAAGAACCAACTTTTTTAAAAGAATTAAACGTTTTTATTTTGAGTGCGTTCCACCAACCGACAGACAGCTGTTTCGACCTACCGTATTTTCATTTTTCCTCATTCGGTTTTTAAGAGTGGGAGAATAATTTTTAAGAGTGGGAGACGCCGAGACTCGGACGGAGAGATGGCATTCGTAATTCAGCAGTACAACCTTCACCAACGATTGGTGATGTTGAAGTTTGTTCTGGATTATTAATACGAATTACGCATTATTAAGTTAATTTACTTTGAACACAAGCTATGAATAATTTATTCAAACGTTCCCCCAAATTGCGTCCAGTCTGTCATAAAATTCGGTGCGAACATTAGCTAGCACATCTGGAGTAATTGTCTCAAACGCTGTATGCATTCTTGCCTCTAATTCGCCAAAATTATTCATTTTTTCATGACGGTACAAGGTAGATTTTACACATCCCCATAGGAACAAATCGTTTGGAGCCAAGTCTGGCGACCTTGCTGGCCAGCGAATAGCGCCCCTGCTAGAAATTATCCTTTGGGGAAAAATTTCTTGTGAATACTCCATCACTATTCTTGTGTTGTGTGATGGGCAACCGTCCTGTTGATACCAAACGTTATCCAAGTTTGGATTGCAGGAATAATTCTATTTTGAAGAAGATCCAAATATCTCGCTCCATTTAAATTGCCACCAATTACAAAGGGACCAATAATATTATTCCCATAAATACCAGACCGCACGTTCAACTTTTCAGGATACTGAGTCTTTAAGTTTAGTTGCCTGTACTCATTTTCAATAGACCAGTACCGGACAATAGCAGATTGTGCTTTCCTTGTAATGGAAATGTGGATTCGTCGGTAAATACTATGTTTTCAATCTTCATTTGCGCGTTCCATCATATTTTCACAAAATTCCATTCTCCGGTAGTCGTCGTCTTGGTATTTATAGGAACGATATATTTTGTTTTTTTTTAAATATTTTGTGGACTTTACCCACACTAATGCCGGTCTCTTCGGCTATTTTAGGAATTGATGTATTTGAATCTTCTTCTACCATTGCACAAACCATTATTTCTTTCATCTCCGCATCTGCATCAATTCTGGGAGTACTGTGACATTTACACCTCAAAACACAACCATTTGTTTTAAACCTTTGAATAACGTTTGTTATTGTTCTAATTGAAGGAATAGAACGTTCCGGATATTTAACTGCGAATAGGTCTCTTGTTTGACGTAGAGAATTGCCCACTAAAGACCAGCTTATCATGTCAATTTTCTCTTGCAATGTTTAGGACATTATAACTTATTATTTTAAATAAAAGAAATTAATTTATGTACAAACGCTCAAAATACACACTAGCAAATGCAAAACAAAACTGAATCCTCGCCTACGTGTTCAGTGTTTAAATGAAAATGCGGTATATTGGGTCTCATCAGTGCACTGCCCGACACTGCAGTGTCGGGCAACTTGGTGTGGTGGAACACACTCAAGCTTATATACTGCCCACGTAAGCCAACCGAGGGAGATGTAAGAACATTGCGTGATACACACAGTCTGAAGACGTGGCCTTTGCCGCAATCGGTACATACTATGCAACCTAGAGTGCACGGCAAATTGTATCACAGATACTATATGGCCTAAAGGAATCTAGAGTTAGCCAACCGGGCTAAACACTAAGGTAAACATTCGATTTTCTTAGATTCTTCAAGAAACTTACTTGACCCATTACTGACACTGATGAGACCCAACATAGGTTGAAACAGCTGTCTGTTGAAGTTGGTGGAACGCAATCAAAACAAAAACTCTGGCGAGTTGAATGTTCAATTCTTTTAAATAATACCAGTAATGGGTCTTGAAGAAAATATGAAAACTTTTTTTCTTACCTAAGCAAACGTTTTCCTGCTTCTCGGCCAAATAGTTCCAATTGTAGTTCGTGAACTGAAATATCGGCGCTATCGCCGGTATGTCCGTCAAAAAGGAAGCTTCTTCGCCCACCTCTAACAGCAAAATCTTCCAGTCCGGGTTCTCTGAAAGCCTGTTGGCCACCACCGACCCGGCAGATCCCGAACCTACCACGATAAAGTCGAACTTCTCTTCTGCTACTGGCTGTTGATCTAAAGAAACAAAATACAAATGATTGGTGTTATGCAAAAGGAAAAGAAACTTAAAAAGGGACAACTTTGGTTAAATTGTAGCGAGTACCGCTCTGGTATCTCGGAATGATGACTCATCGCCGGTGAGTCGGCGCTCGAGCGATCGAGAGCGGTCCGAAGCTCGCTGGAATATTCGGGAAGGCACGTAGGCACTGAATATATAAGGAACAGCGCAGCATGGAGCAGTTAGTTAAGCTTTGGTACTCGCGACGAAATAAATAAATATACGTGCAAATAAATAGACTCTTATTCAGTAGCGATATATAAATGTACAGTTTCTTAGTGTTTTAAGTGTAATTAAGTTATAAAATAAATCGTTTTGTTTCTTTAATAAAACAGTGCGTGTTTTTATTTACACTACGAACAGTAAAAACGTTACAATATGTTAAACAAATATTAGAAACATTCCTCAACACTGGTTTGTTTTGGTTTAGGGGAATATTTATAATATTTGTTTAAATAATGTTTTAATCAACTTACTGTAAAGGAAGGTTGGCCTGTGTTGTGCCCCTGCATATTGTTTGTAAGTGCTGCCAACATAAGCAGGATTAAAAATTCTGCCCTTCCTTTCCGTGGCATGTTTGACACTTTTTTCTACGACTTTTAAAAATTCCTCAGCATTTTGTGATAGAACTGTCACTGTTAATGCAAGAAACACTATCAATTTTGGAATCATTTTTAATCTAAAACAGAAATAACAATTTCAAAAATAATACCTACATAAAAATTTATAAAAAAAAATATACAGGGTGAGAAATTAACTAAAAATAGGTAGATTTTGTCTAAAACATTTTTTCATATTTGTAATAGATGGCGCTGCAATTTTTTCGGTTGAACACTCCCGTTTGTAGTAAACTGCTTGACTGTACGGTGAAATGAAGTACGCGATCGAATTTTATCCGGAAAACGCTGAGCGTAGATATTAACAGCATCATCAAGATTCCTGCCTGCTTCTCCATAAATCAAAATCATTTCTATTTTTTCTTCCACTGTTAAAAAATCCATTATGAATAACTGCTTAACGAAAGGAGGTCTTTTTGTTTGCAAATTAATCTTCGAACTAAATTGATTAAATAATGCTTAACTATAAATAGTTTCTTTATACCTCAATAATAATTATTATTTATAACTAAATACAATTTTTTATACCTCAATCAGGAGAAAATTAATTAATTGGCAAAATAATGTTTTTTTTATTACCTTAAATGAGGTATTTTTATTAAAAATAATACAATAATCCTTTAAATTAAAGTATTTAATGCTGGCAGGTAAAAAGTGACCATGGTGCACAATTGATAATTATAATTATCACCGAATGAAATAATGTATAAAAAGGAAACTTAAATATTAGTTAAAAAATCGTTGGTACTTAAAAAATCAGATTTAATTTAATAAGATAATTATTACAAAAAAAGTGATATTTTTATAGAAAAATGATTGCAGAATCGTATACAGAAGAAAAATCGAAAAAATTGATTTTTTTCATTAAAGCGCCATCTATTACAAATATGAAAAAATGTTTTAGACAAAATCTACCTATTTTTAGTCTAATGATCCGAATCTGCAATAAAAAAATAGGTTGTTCCGTTGGAAATTTTAAAGTTACCCGCTGTTTTATTTTAAACATTTTTTTCGTAAAATGCATACTAACTAAGATATTTCAAAGTTTTAAGTTAAATGACTCACCCTGTTTATAATATTTTGCAGGTATAACGTTAATTTTGTCTCGTGTCGGTTGGTCAGTCGGTTTTTCTAAATTCCGAAGCACCCTGTATCTATAGACAAAACCCCTTGAATAAAAACATTCAAAGAAAAAAACAAAATTTGTATTGTATTTAATTAATAATTTATATTAACTAACATTACACCATTGTTCACATGGACTATGTGACATGAATCTGAAGACAAAATTTTCAATGTTAATTGTTCTTATAAGGTCAATGATTTTTAATTTTTAATTTAATAAGGTTTTATGACAGGAAATTGTGGTGTAAAATTTTATTATTCTTTATTTTTTGTTTTAATAAATCGAAATTGTATTAATTAAACGCACGAGTTGCATACTAACTTAAAACTAACTTAAGCCCGTGACTAAAACTCCATAAAGCCACAACTTGTCAATGTGTATTTAAAAGGTCACTTATTGTCATAGAAACATGTAAGATAAAGGGCGATTTAAAGGTGGGAGTAGAAAATATTATAAAATATATATTATAGTATTTTAATTAATTCAAATACATGACTGCAATTATGATGATCTCTTTTATTATTACAACATTGCTTAACAACTTAACAAATATGATCGTGTATTAAACAACAATAAAAAATTAATAATTAATTAGTTCATATCCAGGAAATGTAGTAAATGATTAATAAAACCTATACTTATATTATATTATTTTTTTGCTTAAAAATATTCGTCAGATTTTTTTTAAATGACATTTTTGTGCCACCTTCTATTTTTTATTTATTAAAAAATTAGTAGAAAATTTAATTTACTTTTAAAATTGTCAGAAATAACAAATGGGCGTTTAATAAGTAGAGATGGGATTTTAGGTTGCAAAATTTATAAAAATGGGTACCTAAATAGCTAAGTAAAGTTTTTCTTGTGGAAAGCAATGTTTAGGCGGTACCTACATAGTTTATTATTGTATAAAATTTTATTATACAAGATTTTTATAATTTGAAAAATTTAATAATAACTAAGTAATATTAAAATCCCATCTCTATTAATAAGGGATTACATTTTCAAAAAATTGCATTAATAATTAAAATTGTTCAATCTGCTGTATCAGTTTAATTGCATTTGAATGCAGTTTCTCCATTACATTAAACTATCTACAAACTTTGCATAAATATTTATATTAAAAAAATAAAGTCAATGTCGTACTGTGGTTGAATTTTTTTTGCCAAAAAAATTCTATTAATGTATTTATGACGCCAAGGCGTGGAAAGAACTAAAATTTATCAAGTTTGATAAACGCCATTTTATACACGAGTTTAATTTAGGCAAGAGCGAGCTTGCGAGCGAGTGCCTAAATTAATAAGTGTATAGAAAAGTTTATAAACGAGTTGCATACTATACTTTTTCTACGACAAATACTTATTATTATCTTAAAATGATTTAAATAAAAAATTTGTAAAGAGCGCCATCTATGAAACAATAGGGGAATCTGTGTGTCACCGTCAAATGTCACATTTTTATATTTTATAAACACAGATTATAAAGGTTATAAATTGAAATGTATTTCTTGAACACTGACAGTTTTTCACAGTGAAAGTAAAGAAAATGTTTTATGAGGACTTTACAGTGGAGTCCGTGCCCGAATTTAAGTTATAGTTTACTGCCGGCAAAATTAAAAGGTCAGTACAATGTTCATATAAACTTTTTAAATATTGGCGTTGAGAAACTATTTAATACTTTTGTATTTTTGTATTGAGATAATAAAATAATTTTCACATATAGTATTATTTTACAAGAAAAAGCACTTTATTTTAACGATTGTATGACATTTGACAACTGACAACTAACTTAAAACTAACTGCAGCTCGTGACCTGTTGCTGACTTCAGCCCGTGACTAAAGCGCCATAAAGCCACAACTTGTCAATGTGTATTTAAAAGGTCACTTAGTGTCATGGAAACATGTACGATAAAGGGCGTTTTAAAGGTGGGGGTAGAAAAATATTTTTTTATTAATTTTACCTTATATAAAAATTAGAGTTTAGGATAAACTGTATTTTTAAGCAAAAAACGCCATATTTTTACAACATACAAGGCCTACTAAGTTGAGAGTAAATTTTTAAGAATTTATATTAGCGATTTTTTTAAAACTTCAACCCGTGACTAAAGCACCATAAAGCCACAGTTTGTCAATGTGTATTTAAAAGGTATTAGTGTCGTGGAAACATGTATATATGCTTAGCTTAACACTGTATTTTGTGATGAACAATAAATACAAAAAAATGTATAATCTATGGTCAATTTACATAAATTGTTTCAGAAACGAGTTATAAACAATAAATCAAAAATACCTAACTACTTTATTAGAAAATAATTATAAAGATAGATTACCTACATTTTTGTTAAAATTAAACACATTTTTTTTAACTTTATTATACAAGGTCCTTCTAAAATAAAAGGATACCAAAATATTGCGATTAAACTAAATTCACCTCCATACAAAAGTTGATAATAACCAAGATACAGGGTGTCGAAGTTGAGAGTTAGTTTTCGATTTTATAAAATAACTTTGGAAAAACAAGACTTTTTACACAAAATTTAATTTTTGTTATTTTAGGCAGGAAAAATTTAATTAATTGACAAAAGTTTTTTTTTAATTTTGTAAAATATATATTTTTTATATAACTAAAATATTATACCTAGATATATTTTTATTTTGATATCAAGTGCTTTTTTATAAAATAAAATTAAGGGAAAAAAATTAATTAGCAAATTATATTAAAAGACAGGGTGTTTCACATTCGTGGCCCATAAGAAGTTTTTGGGTAACGAAAAAACATATCAATTTGAAATTTTAATAGAGTTTATAATCCATTTAAGTCCACTCTCTAAAAATGAATTAGTCAAAAATGACTAATTTAATAGTTATTATTATTCACTTGTACCATGGTTAACCATGGAAAACCATGGTATCCCTAAATTTAACAGCCAATTATTATGTAAAATTGTATCTTGAATCCAAAAATGTCGTCAAAAGTTAAAAAAGTAAAACAGTTTTTAAGATATAGTCAATTTTCCATTTAATATGGAATTGATTATATCTCAAAAACTATTCCTCTTTCGTAATTTTTGACGGTATTTTCGGATTCAGGGGACAATTTTACATAAGAATTGGTTGTTATATTTTGAGATACCATGGTTCTAGTGAAAAAGCAGCCACTAATAACTATTAAATTAGTTATTTTTGACTAATTCTGTTTTAGAGAGTATTTTTCCAAAATATTTTATACAAAATGCAACTTCCGGTTTAACCGGAAGTGACATCAACTTTGTTATTTTAAATAGAACACCCCATATATTTTTACATTTTTAAATTCCACATAAAATAACTATACCTAAATTGAATAGTTTTCAAGTTATTAATTTTTTTAGTTAAAAACTGAAAAATGCGCGTTAATTAAAAATAGCCTATAACTTTTTTGTTATTAGGTTTTCGAATGTAGGGGTTGAATTTTTGGAATCTTAAAACATTGTTTAAAAGATTTCTTGGCAATTTTTTTAACAAGTACCTGAGAAAACCCAAACGAATTGCACTTAAAGTTTATAATTTAAGAGATATTTAACAATTTAGTTGACATACTACAGATTTGTTGAGTTTTTTTTTTTTTAATTAAGAAAATACTGTTTGTATATAAACTTTTAAAATGTTTGGCTTGTCAATGTTTTTTATAAGTCACTGACTGCTATTTTTTATCAGAAATATTGTTTACAAAATAATATTTAAAATTTTAGAAATTGTTAAATATCTCTGAAATTATTAACTTTAGGTATAGGGAATAGTAATATAAATCAAAGGGTTTTTTAATTTACTATTTTATTATGTAAAAACATACTGGGTGTTACATTTAAAATAAAAAAGTTTTTTAGGCTAAACCATCAAATTGTACATTCTTAATAAAGACAAATATTATAAATAATATCTACTTACTTACACAAGTTTACTCAGCAACTAAACCGCATAAACGAATAATTAATACTAATAACTAATAATAAATAACAATGTCACTGCTGAACGACATTCGACTTCCCGACTCTTGCCTTGTTTCTTTTGTAATTATATTTGACAGGCAATTATCTTGTCTTCCTCTCTTCAATAAAATCAGTCGATACGCGCTCGTCACCGGTCGTTCACTGAAGAACGCAAAAGAGAAAAATTATCGAAGAAACCACCTGTGGACTTGCAGATAAGTGCAGAAAAGCACCAAGCGCATTTGACCTGAGTACTGCAAGCCCGTTGCCTGTCAAAACCGGCTTTTTAGTTCCTTAGACTTGTCTCGGAAACTAGGGGACAAATCTTATGATCTAAATGAAATTTTTTAAATATTATGTTTTCATTTGAAATGGAGCCTAAAAAAATAATAAATAAAACTTACCATAGAAGAGTTAACAAAGTTGTAAATCATTATTATCAATCAACTACAAATCCTAAAACAGTCCCCTGGCATTTAATTAATTTGATAATTATTAACTATAATGTGTTACATTAACCGAATTTAAACCAAAACCAAAGAGATATAAATTACCGATAGGTAAAATATGGATCGAGTAAAGTAGCTAGTGTAGGTAAATATTTTAGAGTTGATATTCAGTGTAAAATGCACCAATTATTTAACTCTATAGCTTAATATTACTCTACATAACTCTATATTACATTATTTTACAGTGTAATAATAACGTAACTCTAAAAATATTATATTTTTTACTCGATTGTCTAATACAATAGCATTGGTGTTAATTTAGACTTTGTAAAAGGTAAAACATTTACACTATAAATTAGTATTTTACAACCGCTATTTGCGTTAAAATTTCCCTAGTTTTCCTCTTGCTAGTGTATTATTGTTTTGGATTAGAGTAAAGTAAACAGTAAGCGAGTATATTTTTTACTAAAAAGAGTTAAATCTACACTATTAGGGTTATTATTTGTGGTGCTGATTGCAAAGCGTCTATAAATTTGTAAACTAGTTTAGTGCTGTTTCCAAGGGCTGTTTAATGGTTCGCTTGTGCGGCACCCATGGGGAAAACATTGTTTTCTTTATTTCTTATTTTTTTGAGCGAATTTAAAATATGAAAGTATTATGTACTACTTCATCAGAAAAAAAATGTCCCCTTAGAACTATATATAAAGTTTAATATAAAGTTTCTATATAAAGTGCTCTTTTAGTTCCACCCTTACATCCAAACTAAGATGTCCCATAAGCCAACTGAATGGCTTGTGCGGGTTAGGGGTAGGAACGGACCGACGGCTTAAAGTCCCCTCCGAAGGACTATACACAATAGACAAACACAAATAAACAACCATACCCAAGTGGGATTCGAACCCACGACCTCTTGGCTCGTACCCAAATTCCAAATTCCAAATTCCAAATTCCAAATTAGTTTATTTAACAATAATTACATAATAAATTTTAATCAGCCTAACTATAAAGGTATAAAGGTACAATATGTATATAAAAAAAAGGGAATTTATAGAGTTTAGAAAAAAAAATTTAGAGAGTTAATAAATTTTGAGGTAATCCTGACAAGAGTACGTGGTCTAAAGGGGGCAAATATAAAAGTGAAAAAAAGAGTGAGTGAGAAATGTTAAAATTTTGAGGTGACAAGAAGGTTAAAACGTAAGTAATTAACCTCCTTGTGCGAACTTTATACCGCATAGAGGCCCAGATTATCGTAATTGGTCAGTGCTGTTCCACTTTTACTCGCATGGCGATTTTGGGGAAGATACTCAGTAAAAAATTTTAGAAAAGTAATGGAAGATAAGGTGAAGTAATGAATAAATAAAATAGTGAGTGATTTGAAGGAAAAACAAATTAGAAAAAACCTTCTTAAAAGTAATGATATATTTTTTTAAAAAAGAAGAAAGAAGGGATAGTACAAGAGGAAAAAGAAAAATTTTAAGTGCCGAATATGTCTAGGAAAAATTTTGAAAAAACCTAAATATGAATAAATGAGGAAAATTAAAATTAATAAAAAACCTCGCTGTGGATGGTAGTTTTTGATTTAGAAGCAAGTGCGACTATTGGAGAAAAATGGGAAGTTTCCTGTAAATAAGGCCGTGTTTAATGTTGTGATTGTCAAAGCGTCTGATTTGTGTAATTTGTGAAGTTAAGTTGGAATTTTGAATGGAATTTTCGAAAAATTTATTCGAAATGGCGAAAACAAAATCTTTAATGAATTGGATGCCCGTCATATCGTGCATGCGGGCGATCCTTGTGTATCTGTCCGAGTTGGTGACATGTCTGAGGGCCTGGTTCTGCAAACGTTGCAGAGTAACGTAATTGGTCTCAGACATGGAGCACCAAACCGGACAACCGTAAGTTAAAATTGGCCGAATTAATGTTTTGTATAAAATAATTTTGTTTTCAAGGCTCAGTGCACTCCTCTTATTAATCGTACCCAGGAGCTCTGACCACTACACCACCGAGGTGTTATTATATACAATATAATATAATATAATATAATATAATATAATATAATATAATATAATATAATATAATATAATATAATATAATATAATATAATATAATATAATATAATATAATATAATATAATATAATATAATATAATATAATATAATATAATATAATATAATATGAGTACATTAGATGCATAACTCTGTATTTGCAGGATAAGTGATTTTAAGAAAAACACGAAAAACCGCTCATAAGGTCATATTTGAAAAAAAAAATACAAAAATCGTATAGACGTGCTTTTGCATAATTTCTTATTCAAAAAAGTAAAAAAAAGTCCTTTAAAATTAAGTAGTTTAGTAAATAATTGAAATCAAAAGATTTAAAAACATAGTTTTGCATCTTCCTCGTTCAAAGACCAAGTTTTGCAAGTGAAAAGTGCAAATACCAAAAAAATAACAATTAATCAGGTGATTGTTATGCCGTCAGTTAATGCGTATAGTAGCGACGTGATTGGTGATTGTTCAAATACCGAGTTTTGCTTCCGACAGGAAGAAACAAATACCCAGTTTTGCAGCTGCGGTAAGTTTAAAAATGTATTTTATTCTAAAAATATTAACTTATGCATCTGGTTTACTTAGGTATGCTGTGGGCAGTGCAGTTATGAACATAAATAAGATAAAATATATATTTGTTAAAAATGTGCAAAAACCGAGTTTTGCATCTAATGTACTCATATAATATCAATTAAGTAGGTATGTTTTTAATATTATTTATCTAAACTGCATAACATTTCCTTGCTCCGCCAACTTATAATGGACAGACTGTACTTGAATGAATTAACCAGGTATAACGTAGATACTAAGCATACATTTTTTTTATCTTATAATAATATCTAAGTATATTTTAATTAATATTTAACTAAGCTACAAGTAAATTACATATTTTTTCTACTCCCATCTTTAAAACGCCCTTTATCGCACATGTTTCCATGACACTAAGTGACCTTTTAAATACACATTGACAAGTTGTGGCGTTATGGCGCTTTAGTCACGGGCTGAAGTTAGCAACAAGTTTTTAGTCACGGGATGAAGTTAGCTTTAAGTTAGTTGACAGTTGTCAAATGTCATACAATCGTTAAAATAAATTGCCTTTCTTGTAAAATAATACTAAATGTGAAAATTATTTTATTATCTCAATACAAAAACACAAAAGTATTAAATAGTTTCTCAACGCCAATATTTGAAAAGTTTATATGAACATTGTACTGACCGTTTGATTTTGCCGGCAGTAAACTGTAAAGTCCTCATAAAACATTTTCTTTACTTTCACTCTGAAAAACTGTCAAATTTCAAGAAATACATTTCGATTTATAACCTTTATAATTGTGTTTATAAAATAAAAAAAATGTGACATTTGACGGTGACACACAGTTTCCCCTATTGTTTCATAGATGGCGCTGTATACAAATTTTTGATTTAAATCATTTTAAGATAATAATAAGTTTTTGTCGTAGAAAGAGTATAGCATGCAATCTAATTAATTATTTTTATTAAACAACACGACGGTGCTTTTTTTATATTATTTAGTTGCTGCTGAGGAGCAGTAGACACATCTTAAAATGTATAATGGGTTGCATACATTACCAGTAATATAGACGCACAGTTCCATTTTATTCAATTTTTTGCAAACGCTATGAAAAAATTCTATTATAATGGAATTTTTTTATGTAAAAAACAAAAAACAAGTTTAACACTTTTGTTATATTTTTAAATACGGAATATTTTTTTTAAACTAAAGGTCTAAAAAGTTTATTTATTTTAGGTGTTTTAATGAGGTCCTGATTTCGAGGCGAACGATATTCATTTGTTTTTATTACTTTCGGGGCACTTTAAAGGTCGATAAACTACAAATCAAACCTGATTGGCAGCCAAATTTTATTTATTTTTTATATCTTTAACGAATCCTTCAATATCAAAGTACTTTTATAAAAAAATAATTTAAATAAATAATAAATAGTATATTTCGTCAGGAGGATTATTGTTCGGCATCTTCATCAAAGTCGGTGATTGCAGGTCTCTCTTGAATATCTTGATTTGTTATCTGATAGTTGGAAACACTGCCTGATACGTATTGGCTGACTTTGGCGTGGCCTTCTGGATTGTACTGAGGACCGTCTCCTATTGGCTCAGTCTCTTCTCTAAAAAATTATTAATAGTTATTTATGTCATTAGGTTATGCGAAGCACAAAAAGGCACTTCTTGGCCGAATGGCATACAACATTTTATCTTCAAAGCACTTTATATAGGTCAATTTAATTCAACATCAAAGCGGCCTAACCTCACTTTTTTAGAATCTCATTTATTTATTAGCTAAAGATTACATTAAATGTACAATAATTATTATTGCTTTTAGAAGCAGTTATAGTTTGACAATACCTAGCTACATGATTTAAGTAGAAATGGATTTTTGCTATTACATTGAATTCAATTAATTGTTTAATAAATAGGTAGGTATCTAATTTCAATTTGTTTGGATTTTAATTTAAAAAATAGGTTGTTTGGAATTTTTAAGCTGTGTTTAACATTTAATTTCACTGAAAACTTAAAGCAAATTAAAACTTAAAGATAATTTAAATCGTAGAAAAAGAATCGTGCGTTTTCTTGGTTGCCTAACCTCACTTTTTGTTTTATTATTCATATTTAATTTAACAATAATTTAATGAAAAATATTAAACATTAACAGTAAAACAAACAAATTAGTGCTTAT